TTCTCTCCATTTTTCTTCCTCTCCGTTTCCTCTCCACTTCTCATCTCAATCATTAGATTCATTTTTTAATGGTTGAGATTTGATATTTTATAAAATTATTATTATATATAAAAAATAAATATAATAATAAGTTTACAAAAGATTAAATCTCAATCATTTAAAAATAAATTTAATAGTTGAGATAAGAAGTGGAGAGAAAATAGAAAGGAAAGGAAATGGAGAGAAGCCAACTCCCACTAATTACCTTATATTGATTTAAATGCATTTGCAAAATTTTCTGAGCTTATTGAAAATAGCAGACCCCCATGGATAATAAATATTATCATCCCTTATTTTAGGGAATTAATAATCTTTTTCAGTCAATAAAAACACCAGCATGAATTCTGATAGAGTCTAACATAAACTATCCATATTTTTAGTTCTTTTGTCATTCACGGTATAAAATTTAAGCGAGATCAATGTACTCCCTCCCCACATAGAAAAATATAAGATATTTTTTTAAGTTAAATGCTAAAGAAATATAAGGTATAGTTAATTGTTTAATAACTAATGATTTTTTAAGAAAATACTCTTAATAAATAAATAAATCATTTAGGCCCTTGCTTTTAAGAAAGATATTATATTAAATAAGGATGAATATAAAAAAATGATATCATAATTGATAAATTTTTTAGGATGTGTAATTAAGTTAAAAATAAGTTTTTGAAAGATTTGATATTATTGAAAATAAAAAAATAGAAGACCAATAAAGATCAAATCTAGTAGAAGGAATTAAGTTTTTATAATATGATGAATTAAGACTAAAATCCTCTGTCCATGTTTAATATTTAATTGTGTTTTTAATAGAATTGCACTTATGCTCAATAAAAAATAGAAAAAAATAAAGAACGAACGAGGAAGGGGAGGACAATAATTGGAGAAGCCATCTGAGAAGGTGCTTGTTTATTTTATTTTCTGCTGGTAAAGAAAGGGACGTAGAAGCATAAGAAAATAACAAGTGCAGCTGTGGGAAAGCATCCCACAACAAAACTTTTGGGGCACAAAACATGATAAAGTGGGTCCACTCATTGTTGACCTGAGAGCCCCTCATTTTTGACCCACCAAAATGAAGTCACCGGGAAGCAGATTCCCACCTAATCTCTTTGATCATGTTTGGTAGTTAAAAAAGAAATGAATGCAATGAATTAAAAAAATTAATAAAAATTAAATTAAATTTTTTATAATAAATATAATAAAATTTATTAATATATGTTATAAATGTGGGGAATATTATATTTTTTTATAAAATTTATAAATTATAATTCACAATTTTATAAATTAAATTAAATTATTTTTTTATAATAAGTTGAGGATTCAGACCCCAAGTCACCGTTTCACACTCGAAATAAATTATTAATACCCTCTTTTGTCATTGATATAAAACAGTTTAAAAAATTTGTTTTGTTTTAAATATAAGATGAAGTTAGCAAAGTTAATACTCTCTTCATCTTAAATTATAAAATATTATTAAATAAAATTATACATATCAATAAATTTATTAAATATATTCTATAATTTTTTTAAAAATAAAAATATAAACTTTTAAAAATTTTCTTCATTCAATATTTATTTATAAAAGAATGTTAAAGAGAAAGAATATAACAAAAAAGATAATATTAACAAAGTATTAATAATAAAATCTTATTTTTGTTAAAATATTTTATATTTTAAAATAATAAATTTTTTTAAAAGTGTCTTCTAACTTAATATGAAGAAAACATTTTTTTAATTTTACTTCTTATTTATTTTTTGTCATTTATATTTATAAATAATAATTTATCATGGTCATTAATTATAAAGAAATGTAAAATTAAAAAGTTATTTTTCTTATAATTTTAAAATTTTAACTAACAGTTCTTGATAAACGCAAAATTTATTAGCTTCATCTTATATCAAGGATAGGCATAATATATTTTTTATTAAAAATAACTGGTTTCATTAAAATCATAAAAAAATACAAGTAAAAAAAAAAAATTCCTGTACACGAACAGAGATGTGGAAACCGGAGCAGATACAAGCAAACATGTCACCGACCACATCACTAGCTTATCCCCCCCTTGCTTGTTACTGCCGCTTAATTTCTTAGTCTCGCTTATTTCTTATAAAGTAAAATTAAGATGAGTTTTTCCCCCAAAATTCATCAAGGCTAGGGCCAATGTAGATTTAATGTTTTTAATTTTCATTTTATTTTTTATTAAAATAAAAATCATAAAAAAATTAATAAATTGCTACAGTCAGATTTAATATGAAATGTCAAAATTAAATATTAATAAATTAAATTAACTATTTAAATATATTCTGAACAATTCAAATATAACAGGACATCCTATATTAATAAATGGGATATTTTTTTAAGTATTTTTAAAATGAGCACAAAATGTTTAGTCTCACATTAACAACTCCCTAAAAGTCCTAGGCATTGAGTGAAAGAGACATTTATGAGACTTGAAGACAATCATAAACAAATTAAACTCTGCAACATTAATTTGGCAAGATTGTAACATGTTCAACTAGCTTTTTGAGAAACAAATATTTTTTCTTGAATAATGTATGCTTTGTATAAGATTCTTTTAAAATATATATTTTTATAAAATCCTTAAAATATCTAAAAATTACTTACTTTTTAATGTTAAACAAGCGAGCATCTTATTAATGATAACCAAACATTCTCAATACATACATAATGTACAATATGAAAAACTTATCCGTAAGATACTTTGTTATAAAAATTTATTATAAATAATTGATATGTCGCTTATTAAAAAAAAAAATCGTAACGCAGAACTAGAAACTATTGTAACGCTTTTCTCCTCCTCTTTTTTTTTTTTTTTCACTTCCATAAATGGCTTTTCTTATCCTTAAAACCATCTAATGCACAATATAATAATTAAATATAGCTTTAATTAGTATACTTTTTATCTGTAAAATTATTATTAAAATGTTAAAGTATAAAATTAAGTTTTTGATTATTCAAATGTTCAATTATAAAAAAAGATAGATCGTTAAACTCAAATTGCTAAAAATTAATCAATTTGAATTGTTAGGATATACAATATATATGGAAATTTATTGTATTGAGATTTGTTGTCTACTAATATTTATTTGTTTGAGATTTAAAAAATAATTTATATTAATTAGATATGATTAGGATAAATATCAATATTAACATGAATAGTTTAAAAATGTTGTGGAGACAAAATAAAAATAAAGTTAAAGTATACTTTTAGTCTTATAACTTTATATAAGTTTTTAATGTGATTATTTAATTTTATAAAGTATCTTTTTAATCATTTAATTATGATATTGTTAGTTTCAAATGATTATTTTTTTGTCTCAATTATTGTTATTTTTAAAAAAATTAAACTTAATATGTCAATATTTAAAAGTTCAATATAAAAATTTATTGGGATAAAACTAATAGTGTTAGGGTTAAATAATTAAAAAGATACTTTATAAAGTTAATGGATTAAAGTAAAATATTATGTAAATTTAAAAAAAAACTAAATATATACTTTAGCCTACAAATAAATAGATGTAAGAAATCAAACCTAAATCGTGTAAATGTTAATCTTATGATTTAAAAAGAAAGAAGCAAACAAAAAAAAAAAAGGAAAGAAAGAAAGGAGAAGGGAAAAGGAGAGAATTACTTTCATGCATTCCCATCGCAAAACTCAAAATTCCCAATACTTGTGTTTATATTTGCCAAGATGTCAATGGATCTGCGTAAATCAACATTTCCACTCACAGACACAGAGAGGGACTCAGTCCGAGTCTCCATCTTATCCATTGAAGTGATAATTTGTGGTTAGTTATCAAGTCCAAGCAAGGCGAGAAAATACTGCGCCCAAAGAAACTACGCTACACGCCAGATACGTATCCAGTCGTGAAAAGCAAGTTGGACTTTTCTGATTCAAATCCTGCCGTACGTGTTCGGCAACTAATTGTGCGTCTTCAAACAGAACACGTTGGAACTCCAGTAGAAACGATACAAATGCTTCACTCCGACTCTGTGGCCACTGAAACTCTGGAATTAAGTTTAAAATGATCAATTTTGGAGTAATTAAATTCTATAAATACTTTTGTATGAATTTAATTAATACGTTGTTCATGATAAACATATAAAAACGAATTCTCTCACGTCATTCAAAATGAACTTGTATTTACTTATTTATGTTTATTATTACAATAGGATAGTTCAGTTATTTCCGGCTTTGTTTAAAAAAGGATCATAGAATAGTTCAGAATCATGACTAATATTTAAAAATTATCACCTTGACAAGCTCATGCCAACAATATTTTTTATATTCATATCTGATATCATGTTTCCCATTGAAATAAGTGGTGGCTAGAGGACTGATTTTGGTTGGAGGGGCGGACCTGCAGAGAGAGATTATCTAGTAAATAAAAATAAAGGAGTGAGTTATCAGTTGGGTCTTATTTTAGATGATAAAGTATTTGTTTTGATATATTTTAATAATTATTGTTTCTTTTTTATCATTTTGTCTCTATTAAATACAGAAGAATGATGTTACTAAATGTTTAAATATTTTATTTTTTAACACATATACTATATATTTAATAAGAGTAGTATTAAAAACTTGTTAAATTTTTATATAAAATTAAAAATTTCCCTCGATTCTTTGAAAAAAAAAATTGTTGGAGTGATTTATGCATCCTGCCATGAGTAAAACTTAAAGTATTTTAATTTTACATTTTTTAATTAAACTTTATATTAATTTTTCCAGCGAGCGCCAGATTTGGGTCTCTTTACTTTTTTACCTCTTATTTTTCTTTATTTCTCTCGTCTTTATCTTTCATTAATTTTATTATTTAAAAAAATTATTTAATAAAATAATTTAAATAATTAAAATTGAAAATTAAAAAAAATGGAGAAAAAAAAAATGAAAAGACTCGTCTCCCACCCCGCTATATAACTATCCACGCACCCGCCGTCCTCCTTCACCACTTGTCGTACGCTCACAGTCACCGACACACACTTTCCCTTCTCACGGTCTCCTACACTGACTAAGATGACAGTTGAGCAACAAACAGGCACTGGCACAGGCACAGCAGATTCTCATCCTCCAAAGAAGCCCCCAAGGAACAAGTTTGCTCTCGCTTGTGCTACTTTGGCCTCCACCACTTCCATCTTGCTCGGCTATGGTCTGTCTCACTTCCTTCATTTATTTCTATCTTTCCTCTCCTTTCAAATACAGCACCTTCATTTTAAGCTTTCTATTTCTTAAATTACAGATATTGGTGTCATGAGCGGAGCTATTATATACATCAAGAGAGACCTCAAAATCACGGACGTCCAAGTTGAAATCCTGGTAGGGATTATCAACCTCTACTCCCTCATAGGATCCTTCCTCGCCGGGAGGACCTCCGACTGGATCGGCCGCCGTTACACAATCGTCCTTGCCGGAGCCATCTTCTTCGTCGGCGCCATTCTCATGGGCTTCTCCCCGAATTACGCCTTCCTCATGTTCGGCCGTTTCATTGCCGGCATCGGCATTGGCTACGCCCTCATGATCGCCCCTGTCTACGCCGCCGAAGTCTCCCCCACCTCCTCTCGCGGCTTCCTCACTTCCTTCCCTGAGGTAATCCCCCCTCCTTTCTCCTCATACTCACAGAAGCACGAACAAGCAATTACAGAATAAGCATTGAATTAACGCCGTTCGTGCGGTTCATTATTTTCAGGTTTTCATCAACACCGGGCTACTGTTTGGATACATCTCTAACTTCGCATTCTCGAAGCTACCGCTTCGGATAGGCTGGCGATTGATGCTCGGAATCGGCGTCGTTCCTTCTTTGTTAATCGCACTGGGAGTGTTAGCCATGCCGGAGTCGCCTCGATGGCTAGTGATGAGGGGTCGGCTAGGCGAAGCGCGCCGAGTGCTCGAGAAAACTTCAGATTCTCAAGAAGAGGCTCGGCTGAGGCTGGCCGACATCAAGTCAGCGGCTGGGATCCCCGAGAGCTGCAACGACGACGTCGTTCATGTGATGAGCAAGCAAAGCACCGGCAAGGGCGTGTGGAAGGAGATGTTCATTCATGCTTCGCCCGCCGTTCGCCACATCGTTCTCGCCGTTCTCGGCATACACTTCTTTCAGCAAGCCATTGGCTTGGACTCCGTCGTTTTGTACAGCCCCACCATCTTCGGGAAGGCCGGGATCACGTCCGATAACCAGAAGCTTCTCGCAACCGTAGCCGTTGGATTCACCAAGACGATCTTCATCCTGGTCGCTACGTTCTTTTTGGATCGAGTCGGGCGACGCCCGTTGTTGCTGAGTAGTTTCGGAGGGATCATACTCTCACTCTTTACTCTCGCCACGTGCCTCACGGTCATCCATCATTCACACACAAAAGTTATGTGGGCCGTTGGATTAAGTATCGCCACTGTGCTGTCCTCCGTCGCGACGTTCTCGATTGGGGCTGGTCCGATCGCGTGGGTTTATAGCACGGAGATCCTTCCGTTGAGGCTGCGCGCCCAGGGTGCGGCCATGGGAGTTGTGGTGAATAGGACGATTAGTGGTGTGATCTCAATGACCTTTCTATCCTTGTCGAAGGCGATGACCATCGGTGGGGCCTTCTTTTTGTATGGAGGGGTTGCGACCGTTGGATGGATCTTTTTCTATATTATGCTCCCCGAAACACGGGGCAAAACCCTGGAGGAAATGGAGGGATCTTTTGGTAATTTCACAGCAAAGGGCAGAAACGCGCCGGAAGCACCAAGCACTGACAAAGATGGAAACAAGCCCAGCCAATTACAAGATACTGATCGAGTTTAGATTAAGTTTTTTTCTCCTTTCTTTTTTTCCAAATGCAAGCCTTTCTTTTTCCTCTGTACTACCGTATGAAAAGTCTTGTGTGGCTAAGAAGAAAGTGGTCCTATGTGGGATGAGATTGACTACCATGGTTAGAATAGTAATTCAAAGTCACCTAACTTTTATCAATCACGTTAATAACAACAAAATAAAATAACAAAGCAGGTAATTGTAATTATTTGGCATTTTTATTAGGGATTATACAGTCTCTGTCACAAGGAATTATCCGTCGGCTGAACTGGGGAAACGGAAACCCCGACGCAACCAGTGGGACAAAGACGTCCACGTAATTAGGAAAACCAACCTCGTTGTCTGTCTATGAAATGTTTCCACTAGTCTTCCAACACTGTCTCTTGGGGCCAATTCTAATATTAAAATTTTTAAAAGGACAATATTATTTGTTTACATTTTTTAAAAATAGTTGAAATATTACTAAAATTAAATAGTCGATTCAATTATATTTATCTAGTCCTATTTATAGGGTAGAGAGAGAGAGAGAGAAAATCAGTCATTATAGGGCATTTTTTTATTTTCAATATTTTTCTTTACATTTTTACTCTTATTAAATATTTTAAATAAAAATATTAATAATGAGATTTAAAAACATTTATTAAAAATAAAAGTAAAAAATTATTAGATTTTAAGATAAAGTTAATCAAGTGTAATGTTTTACTTGATTTTGATGAAACATGTTAGAAGTGAATTATAAATGAGATCAAAGAGAATAGTAATTAAAATTTGTTACATATAGAATGTAAATAAAAAGTTTTACCCATTTTCTATCACTTCATATTTGATTTTACATTAAAAAGGTTTCGGCAATTTCCAAAGCTTATATTTCAATTCAAACATGAAGTAGGAATACCTTTTTTCCTTTTTTTTAATTCTTAGATATCTTTATAATCGATAGCTGTGAAATTAATTTCTCAAAAAATTTGACCTTTATTTAAGGAGTGTTATCCTTCCCAAACGATGCTTTTCATATACACCTTCAAAACTCAAACTCCAAAATAATACTCAACGGATTTAAATTGCTATGATCGGTGCCACACCCATTAATAACTCAATATAGGTTAAAGAGGGAGAAGCAAGGCAATCATTACTTGGTGCAAATTTGCTGGGCTTTAAAGTGGGAAGCCCAAATGCTTAGTAAGACCATGGGTCAATGTTACTGGGGAATATAATTGAACAACGGAATTTCATCACTCGGAGACAATTATGCGTCATTATTTTATTATTTTTTAGAGGAGCAGGGGGAGACGAGAGAGTGTCACTCTTACTAACAAACAATACCTTCCACAGACGAGAAATATGAACTGGATGATCTGGCGTCAGAGGTCAAGGCAGAATCATACCTGAAAGGCCTTGTAAATAATATGCAAAGGTGAACCTCTTCCCGGCGTTTCATTTCACAATCACTACTAATTACAAATTTTATCCCTTACTAAATTCATAATTAAAAAAAAATCATTAAATTTAGTGAGAAATTATATTTCTCTCGCTAATTAGTGAGGAATTTAGCGAGAGATAAATCCCTCGCTAAAATTAACTAGGGACTAAATCCCTCACTAATCCCTCTCTAATATTATTCAAAATTTGATAACTTTAGCGAGGAATTTGCCCCTCACTAAATATGTTTATATTTAAAAATAACTATGCCACATCACCCGCCATGTGTGATGTCAACTAGTGACATGTCATCAGCAATTTCATACTTTGTCAACCACCATTCATACTTTGTCAAACACCATATCATCTACCATCTCGCACCCTATCACTCACCACATGTGCGACAACTCATGACACATTATTGTCCACCTTGCGCCATATCACTTGCTCCTTATCATATCATATATTCATCATGTTTATGTCAAAGTCAAGGTTTGAACCCTTGACCTCATACCTTCCAAGCTTTATACTCTCCTTTTTTGCCAGTTGAACTGAAAGGTATTTGCAATCATTATATGAGAAATTAAATATGTATATATATTATTTAACTACATAAATATATCAAATAATATATTATAAAAATATACACATATACATATTAAATTTTATTTTTAATTATTAATATCTTAAAAATATTTATATTTTATTTAAATTATTAGTTATATTATATTTTTAATAAAATATTATTTTATTAATGAAAATAAACTTAAAATAAAGAAAATATTAAATAATTTTATTATGAATATTTTAGTTAATTTTTAAATTTAATTATTATTTTTAAATGAAAATAATTAAATGTATAATTAAAAGTCATTGTCAAAAGTTAATTTTTTTTTGTAGTAATTAGCTAGGGATAGAATTCCTCTCTAAATCCCTTGCTAATTATCTTATTTTAGAGAGGGATTGACAATTCCTCACTATTTTTCTCAGTGATTCTCTTATTTTAGAAAGGGATTGATAGTCCATCGCTATTTTTCTCACTAATTTTCTTATTTTAGAGAGGGATTGACAGTCCCTTGCTAATTTCCTCACTAATTTTAAATCAAGCTACAAAATTAACATCTCTCGCTAATTTTCTCACTAATTTGGTATTTTAGAGAGGAATAAACGATCCCTCACTCAATTTTCTCGCTAATTTGTATTTTTTTAGTAGTAAATAATATGTGTGTCTTCATCTTATACATAGAGAGATACAAAAATAAAAAATTAGTGAAATTATAAAAAATAATTAAGGACCCATGGATGACTGTCCAGATTTATTTACAATGCCTGCATCCACATCCATGCTTTAACTTAAAAGGGAAAATAAACAGAGAGATACAAATTGATGAAGTGCTTAGACTAATTCTCAACTTCATTCAATGCATGAACTTCTTGCTAGCACTCAACTTCACTGTCTAACTTTGCAAGCTTTATTATGTATACGTACTGCAATACCAACATTATATTATATATTCACTTAAAAAATATTATTTAAAGTATTTTATCGGGTTTAAGTTAATGTTAGTGCCTAGTGACTACGACTTCTTTTAATGCCCCGACATGGGTTATATATCAATTTTTTCATGTACTTATTAAGCAATGAAAATCATATCTATTGACTTTGGGTGGAAGGCCGCCAGACGCAATTGGTCTTAGCCTCAGTTGAATGCTTACAATCAAATCTAATTTAATCGAACTGTTTGCTTTTAAATTGTTGAACGAGGAAATTGCAACGACCACCACCCCACAAAGGAAAAGGAAAAGAAAAGAAAAATAAGACCTGCATAAATGAGCACGTCTAAAAAATAAAAATAAAAAAAATTAATCCTCTTGCTAATATCACTAGAAGTTTGACAAAATTTTCAATTAGTTTACGTAGAATCAAAATTTAAAAGCGCATATGGACACTGTATCATCGATTCACATTTAATCAAGTGCGTCACGTGCAATCGTAACGACATTAAAGTTGGAGGTTCTCCGAGTTGAATGAAATTATCTCTTATATCGTCAAACCAACAAACAAAGCAGGAAATAATGCAATCGCATCGAGTTGCGGATGATCAATACGAATTAAGATCTCTACTCTCTCTCCTTATTCTCACTCCCAACAATAATGTACATATATACTTCCTAATAAGGAACCTACATGCAGACATCAACAGTGAACATTGAAAACGCGAAAGCGATAAAATCAAATTAAAGAACTGGCGCCACGCGTTCACCACAAATCCTCAGGCCAATCAGGAAGAAGCTGCTCGTAGATTTCATGATACGCAAGGTAAAGAACTCGATCTTTAGCCCCGGTACGATGGTTATTCGTACGGCCACAGAAATACTTGAGTTGCTCCAGCGTACAGTACCCCATCCATTGGCCCAAGAACAAGAACAGCCAATTGATATTCTCTTTATTCTCACTGATGATCGGCCTCACGCTGTCAACGGAGCAGTATCTGCATGTCAGTAAAGGCGGCGCCGTCCATTTCTCGACGGCGCGGTCGTGCATAGATTCCTTTGAGACGACGAAGCTCAAAAACTCCGACAATGTCTCCTCAAGATCAAACCCCATCTCGTAATCTTTGTCGCACCTCGTGCACCGGACCATTCCTGTGATGGTCTTAATCTGCATACTTTGCAGATAATCCAGATCATGAAGGACGGCGGGGCGGTTAGTGGCCCATGGATAAGGTGGTTGAATTGTTCTATTAACATCCTCACCATTGTTTCGAGAATGATTCCGTCGAGCGCGTCCACGGCACGACGGAGGCTCGCTGATGCTCAGATGCATCCCTTGTGGCGTCGGCGATCTGCCGACAAAAACTTCCGGCGAGCCGAAGTAAACAGGATTATTATACGGAAGTTGGATTTGTGGGCTTGGATAGTAAGATGGAATATATAGGCGTGAATAAACTGGGGCTTGTGGTGTAGCTTGAGGTGGCGACAATGGAGGAGAAGGACGTCGTGGCGGAGAAGGCTGCCGGAGACTGAGCGAAAGATCAAGAAAATCACCACCACCATCATCTTCTGGGCTGTTGAGATTAATATTGATGTTATTGTCGCTCATTGCGAATGATCTGATGACCAAGAAACTAGTGAATGAAAAGGAGAGAACAAGAATGTTTTTTTCCCAAATGGAAATGATATGATTTTATAGACACAAAGAACTAAAGAAGCGTCCAAGAAGAGGCGGGATTGGATGATTTGGAATAACAAGTCTTTTTCGAAATTTGAAGTTGAAATGCCATGTGATTTGGAGACAATAAAATAAAATCTTGTCTGTTACGGATTCAAATTTCTGGACTCTGTTACTGTTACATTGAAATCCATTTTAAGATACATAAACGCCTATTTGTTTTAATTTATTTCATAAAAAATCACTTCTTTTTAAAAGATCTATTTTGTGATTTTTATGATATTTATTTAAATTTTTAAAAATAATCAAAATTAAAAAAAATATTTTTTATTATTTTAAAAAAGCTACTTTAAGTACCTTTTAAAAATAATTTAATACCCTAAATGGAAGAGAGTATTTTAAAAATGCAAGATACATAAATATATCATAAAATTTTAAACTAATATAATAATAATAATAATTAATAATCACTTTTTTATTATTGTAATCAAATATAAAAAAATGTCTTCTTTTTATAAAATAAATAAATTTTTCTATAAAATCTCTAAACTATCTAAAAATTATTTGTTTTTTAATTTTAAACAAACACGCTCGAAATTTATAAATATTGTACTTCAAGAGAAATCTAATTAAACTATAATTTTTCAATTGCGTTACAATTAGCTAACCATTTGGTTATACATTTTCTACGGGTCGATTTCGCGTAAGAATGGTGTAGTTACATATTAATTATAATATATAACTTCATATGATCAATATATAAAATTTCTATGACAAACTATCCTACACACTTATACATTACATTTTTAGGTCGAATTAAAGGTGGATAGAGTATGAAGAAATATATCTATATATTGGCAATAGTAGAAAATATCAATACATACCAGTATATATAATTTCTATAACAAACTATCCTATCCTATATATTTATATATAGGCTACTCGTTGCTTACCGTTCAAATTCTATTATATTTTGATTGGGTCTGGAATATAATTATTTTTAACAATACTACATCCATGCACAATCAAATAGATATTATGCTAAATCCAAAAAAAAAAAAAAATGTATCCAATTTAATTATTTAAATAACTGTTGTTGCAGACTTATTCTCTATTTCCACCCCTTAATACACGCTTTATTCTATAGGCGTGTGTCTTTTGAAGGAAAATCGATAATTGATCACTTTTCTCTGATTTTTTTTAATTTATGTAACCATATTTTTAGGCATTATGTTTGAACTTTGAGAATTATTTATTTATATTACTACTAGAAAAAATGAAATCAATGACGGATAAATCTGTCACTAATTTTAAATTTAGTAACGAATCGTCTGTCACTAATTTCAATCACAAATATAGTATTATTAATTTAGTAATTGAAATGAATCTATTACTAATTTAGTGACAAAAAATATTTATCATTAGTTAATAAACTTTCACCACTTATTTATTTTATAATAAAAAAAATTTTGTAGATCCCATCATTGCCATGGCAGCTCTTATGCCATCTCACAAATACATATATCTATTGCCTTTTACATCATTATCACTTGGACCTCCATGCCACTTTATTGCCATGTTACCTCGTTTCAAATCTAAGGTCTTTTTCTTTTCATATGTGCTTTTTGCCAATTGAATTATAATAACTTTTTATTTTTAATATATAAAATTTAATATATATTACTTAATTGAACACATATATTTAATTTAAATATAGTTAATATATTATTATTTAAATATGTTGATAATCTATATTATCATATATACAGACACATTAACACATATAAATACATAATTCAATATTTATTATTAGTTAATAAATATATTATTATTTAATATCAATTAATATGTATTATGAAAATAAAGAATTATGTATATTGTTTTATATTATCTATGCTATAATTAAACTATTTTCATATGATAAAAATTTTATTTTATATTTAAATTTACATAATAAAATAAAAAATTATTTTTATTTTTATATCATTTTCTATTATATGTTTTACTTATAATAAGAGAAAAATTATTTGTGTAATTATTTAATTTGATATTTTCTAGGAAAAAATTCATGTGAACCTCTCAATATATATTATAATTTTTTTACTTTTATAAAATGTTTAAGCTCATCTTAATAATTTTTAAATTAAAAATATCTATCACTAGCATAAAAATTTGTGACTAAAATTAGTGACGTATTTAAATTGGTCATTAAATTTATAAAATTTGAGCAAAATATGACAACATTCAATCTTTGTCACTAATTCATCACTAATTTATATAATTAGTGATAGATTTCAGTCCGCCATAAAATTTCTATCACTAGTGTTTATAATTAGTGATGGATTGAAGATCCATAACTAAATTTAATTTTTTTACTAATGTATTTCACCCCATCATTATTGTCTCAGTTGATATCAGATGGCTTTGATGACTTTTTTAAATTCATTTAACACACGCACACATACATGGGTGAGGACTGAGAATATTTCCCAACCTATTTATATATAATATACATTTTTCATTTTATGTACTTAATTAACTGAGCGCATTTTATTTTATATTTTTTATTCACCTATAATTAAGGATGACAAAATAATTTTGGAATGTTTATGAACAAAAAAGTACTCCCTCCGATTCCATTTATAAGTCACATTTTAAAATATTTATTTGGTCTCATTTTTTAAATAATATTTAAAAGATATTTTTAAAATTACCTTTCATACAAAAAAGTAACATAATATTGCTTTCTAAATTTGTTATATATGAGCATATTTAAAATTCTATACACTTTAATTTAAAAAATGTTTTATGTGCACACTAATATATTATCGTTGTTTGAAATCACTACTGTTCCTCATTATTACTTCCGTCTAACATTTAGGCAAAAGAATTAATAATCCTGTTCGAACTTATATATATATATATATACACTCTCTTTGTTAAGAAATGTAAAATATTTTTTTTGAGGAGTTGAATGTTTAAAAATATAAAATATTTTTAGTCTTTCAAGATGTAATCATTGCTTTTTTTTAAAGTGTCATTATTGATGAATAACTTTATATTTATTATAAAGTATTTAATATGGGTAAATATAAAAAGATAGGGTTAGTTTAAAAGTAAGTAATTACTTTATTGAGAATGAAATTTTATTAAAAATATTTTATATTTTTAAACAGAGGAGTATATGATTCCCAACTTGAGCATTAATAATTAAAAATACTCATGTCAATGTGACTGCTAGCTAGAAATGCAAAGAAGGTGAAAAGTTTATAGAAGCCCTTTTGTTGGACTCGCTATTTCCCTTAAAATTGTTTTGCAGGTAGACATGCTACATTATTTAAATTCATCTTTTATTAACTGTCCAATGGTGTATTTAAATTTTTACTTTACAAAAGCATTAGTGCTTGCAAATAACACTATTTCCAACAAGATTTGTAGTTGTAATAATAATAAAATCTGAGTCTCATATTGCATTCTATATTTTATATGGAATTAACAATTAACAATATTAAAGTTGGAGGTTCTCCGTGTTCAATTTACAAATTATCTCATATCGTCATAAGACAAATATAGGAAATAATGCAATAGCATCGAGTTGCAACCACGAAAAATCACGTCTAAGTTGTTATTTGTTGCAAAGTTGAAGAACATACATGCATCCTAATTGTTAAGCTGCAATTGGAGTGATCATTGCGAATTGGCACCACTGGTTCCTGAGAAATCTACGTGCAGAAATTCATAATGAAACGCAAAAATGAGATAAAATCAAAGAATCGGCGCCGCTACTGGTTCACCACAAATCCGCAGGAAAATCAGGAAGAAGCTGCCTGTAGAGTGCATGATACGCAAGGTAAAGAACTCGATCTTTGGCCCCAGTACGATGATTATTCGTACAGTCACAGAAATACTTGAGTTGCTCCAGCCTACAATACCCCAACACTTGCCCCAAGAACAAGAACAGCCAATTGATTTTCTCTTTATTCTCACTGATGATCGGCCTCACGCAGTCACCGGAGCAGTACTTGCATGTCAATAACGGCGGCGCCAACCATTCCACGACAGCACGGCAGTGCATATATTCCTTTGAGACGACGAAGATCAAAAACTCCGTCAATTTCTCCTCCAGATTGAACTCCATCTCGTAATCTTTGTCGCATCTCGTGCACTGGACCATTCCTGTGATGGTCTCAATCTGCCTGCTTTTCAGATAATCCAGATCGTGTACGACGGCAGGGCGGTTAGTGGCCCATGGATAAGGTGGTTGAATGTTTCTTTTAATATCCTCGCCGTGGGTTCCAGAAGGATTCCGGAGAGCGCGTCCACGGCACGACTGAGGCTCGCTGACATTCAAATGCATCCCTGGTGGCGCCGATGACCCGCCGGCAAAAACTCCCAGCGAGCCGAAGTAAAGAGGATGATTAGTCGGAGGTCGGATTTGCGGGTTTGGATAAGATGGAATATATGGGCGTGAATAAACTGGAACTTGTGGTGTTGGTGTACCTTGAGGTGGTGATAACGGAGGAGAGGGACCTCGCGGCGGCGGAGGCTGCTGGAGACCGAGCGAAAGATCAAGAAAATCACTAACATAATCTTCTGGGCTGTTGAGATTATTGATGTTATTGTTGCTCATTGCGAATGCGAATGATCTGATGATGAGCAAGAAACTAGTGAATGAAAAGGAGAGAACAAGAATGTTTTTTCCCAATAGGAAGTGATATGGTTTTATTGAGAGAAAGAACGAAAGAAGCGTCCAAGAACAGTTGGCATTGGATGATTCGGAATATCGTAACAGTCTTTTTCAACATTTGAAGTGGAAATGCCATATGATCTGGAGACAATAAAATAAAATCTTGTCTGTTACGGATTCAGATTTCTCGACTCAGTTACATTGAAATCCATTTTAAGATACGTAAAATTAAGGGAGAATTTTAGCTAAGATCATGGATGAGAAATATTGATTAGTGGGTTCCTAAAACTTGAAAATTCTCTGCAGGATTTCTAAGCTAAACTAAAATAAAATGAGTGGCTGAAAAAATCAAAACACCCTTCTGCAAAATTACTAATTCCTTGATTATTACTTAACTTTACTTATTAATGCCTTAACAGTATTTGTTAAATAGTTAATTAGTTAATTTCATGACTCCATAATCTTAAAAATATTACTTGTTAATTCATAACTTTACTTGTTAATTTATCAACATGATTTGTTAACCATTTGACTAGTGAATTATTTACTTTTTCACTCAATTTGATTGAAAAGCACCATAATTAGTTATTAACTTTCTTACTTTACTTGTTAATTTATCAATATCAATTGTAAATTACTATCAATAATCATACTAATATCAGTTATCAATTATCTAACTTTAATTACTTGTTAATTTACTAATATCAATTATAAATTACATGACTTGTTAATAATCATACTAATTCAATCATTTTATTCTAAATGTAAAATCATTAGTTGTTAAATCTCTAACTCTACTTTTTAATTTATTAATATCAATTGCCAGTCACTTCAACACATAGACGTAGTGACATGAGATCATACTCATGGATCATGGTTGGATTCATTTTGATGCACAAGATCCTCAGAGAAGTAAGTACATAGCATGCTTGAATTTTTATATGACAGAAATAAGTTATTACTAAATCAAACTTTCAGGAGAGAAGAGAGAGTTTAAGAAAAACATGGTAAAGAACATACTGATTTTATTTCTTCAAACGAGTGCTGAACCTGTTATGATTTACGAGGCAATTGACACTCCTTTTTATAGACTAAGGGAGGAGAGGCAAGATAGTACACTGACTATTATAGGATGATACATCATGACACGTATACATGCTTTTCCAAAAGTAAAGGTAGATATATGTAACATCCTAAACTTCAATCCAGAAAACTAGTTACTAATTCAAAAAAAATTAGTAATTAGTGAATTGAATATGATTTTGGATAGTGGGTTAATGTGTTATATTGGTTGGTTGGTGTGATTACATGATCGGATTGTAAGGCTACGATTTGAGACATAACACGTGAGCACCAGTGAGATCTATCTCACTGTGCCACACGCCACTGCATGTGCTGCATGTGCCATGATGTATGACATAGCATTTGGATAATTTAGATCATGATTCAGCTTGTGGCTCAGATGAAAGAAAAGGGAAAAATGTGCAAGGGAGAAGAGAAAGAGGTTTGCTCTGCTAGGGCAAGAAGTCTTGGGAGTCTGGGAGTTTGTTCTGGCTAGTGACTTATCGGGTAAGTTTTGTACCACCCTATACTATGTTTCCAACTTAATTTCTCCAACTTTGGTCAATAGAGAAATTGAATCAAAGAGTTTTAAGGGGTTAAAATCTAAAGGAAAGGTTTTAAAAGAGCTATTGAGTGTAAAACTAAGATTTTGCAATTGGTATGGGGTTTAGTAATTGAACTTTAGAGCTATAGGCTTAAATTGGCCTAAGTAATTAGGTTAATAAAAGTGAAAATATTGGTTTAATGAGTAAGAAGGGTGTTTTGGTCACTTTAGTGGCTTAAGGGTGTGTAAATGTGGTGAATAGGTTGAGTAGACCTAAAGAGTGCCATTGAGGTTATTGTAGATGTTAAGTTCTATATCTTGAGCAAATTATGTTTTGCATTAAGTTCGTGGGAATTGATTAAGAATGATAAATTGTGTAGACTAAACGCTTGAGGAATTGCTTGTGAGAGTTTACACCTTCAAAGCAAATTAGTACAAATGATAACCCTTAATAAGAAGGGTAAAAAAGTAACTGGAGTAATCCTTTAATCTATTGGTTCGTAAAATAATTTACAAGTATTTTATATTAACTGTATGCATTATATTTTATGAAATGATAGAGTAGTAGTGTTGCAAAAAAAATATGCATGCGTGTGTGTGAGTGATGCTTGCAATGTATGAAAAGAAAGTCTATTTGTATTCGCAAGTATACCTTGGACTAAGGTAAGAGGTCATAGCCCTACTTTATGTAAGGTTATAAAGTCTTAAAAGGTTCTAAGCATTGATGATCCGCTAAGAATAGGGGTGTTCACGGGACGGGACGGGACTGGACTGGGACACCCCCATCCTGTGTCCCGTCTCGAAAAAAAGATCGAGATTGAATTTTGGTCCCGTGCCTCGCCCCATCTTGAAAGTCATCCCGTTCTATTAAGAGTTAGGATGGAATTAGGACAAGATCGGAACGTCCCGCCATCCTGATAAATGAAATAATATTGAACAAGGATCTCGATAATAATGTTTATTAAAATTTTAAATCATATAATTTATTAAGTTTAAAATCAAAACAACAAAAGTACATAAATAACAATAATTTAAAATTAATTATTAAATTATATTAATCACAACTACACATTATAATAACAAATACAAGTAATTTTTATGCTATAAGATTAGCAACAACAGGCAAGTCAAACATAACATCAAATCATTGTTCTTCTACTTTAGTGAAGATGTGCTAAGCTAATTATTCTTCTAAAAATAAAGCAAGAAATATGTTATAAATAAAAGTTATTAAATAGATAAATATAAGAATAAATTATATTAATATAATTAATATATTATAAAGAAAGATATCGCCATGTTTACTCCATGCCATTAAAATTATCAATATAAAAAAATTTTAGTTTTAAATAAGAATTGCTAGTATTAAATTATAATCAATATAATTAATATAAGTATAAATTATATTGATATAATTAATACATTTAAAATAAAAAATAATATATATAATTTCGGGACAGGACGGGACATTCTGATAGTAATCTCGTGTCCCATCCCGTCTCGAACCCCTTTCTTGTCCTATCCCGTGAAGTCCCGTCCCGATTATTTTTGGGCCGGGACAAGACCCATCCCGATATGATCGGGACGATATCGGGCCAATCGGGACGGGTCCAAACTGAACACCCCTAGCTAAGGAAGACCCAAGAGTATATGTATCTATAAGTGTATTCTAGATTAAGGTAGGGGATCGTGGCCTTACTTTGTGCAAGGTCAGAAAATCTTAATACTCCAAGCATTAAGCATGCTTCACTAGTGGAAACTCAAGAGACTACCTATATTTATGATACTTGGTCTAAGGTAGTGGTTTGATTGGCCTTGTTTCGTGTAAGGCTGGAAGTGCTAGTTCGAGGGTTTAGCTTGCTCCATTGGTGGGAGCCAAAAGTGTATGAACATAGCAGATGAATGAGCATGTCATTGTGCGCATATCTATTTATATTGCTTTTATTAAAATTAATGCTACTTTATTGCTTGTATTTAATTTTGCTTATTAATTGGTAATTGAGGTTTATTTAAGTTATTGAAATGTATGTCTTACTCTGTTACCTTTTTTATACAGGTGAGGAGAGTGTAAGAAGGCCATGAAAGGAAGTGAGGAAAGAATAACTTTGTTTAACCTCTAGAATTTCATGTCATTTCATCATATTTTTCTTAGATTCTAATTCATTTTGCCTCAATTGTACATATTTTTATTAGTAAAAAAATGTACGTTTTGCTTTGAGTTTGTATTCTTAGCTTTAATTTAATATTTTTGACCTAATTTTATGTTATTTTGGTTTAAGATGTGATTAGATTCAATTCTAAAGCTTTGTTGATATTTTTGAAAGGCTTTTGGATGAAGAAATCAAGTACAAAGTGAATAATTTTTGTTAACTGTAAAAACAGTGCAAAACTATTAAAGTCGCCCTAAAATTGCAACTTTAACTACTGTCAAAAAATGCTACATTTTATTAATTTAAAATTAATTGGGTAGGACACTTATATGTAGAGGGCTCAACTCAGAAGGTATTCTACACACTTTTAGACACATTTGGAGCTTGATTGTGCTAGGGTTTGGGCATTGATAGAGCTTGAAGTAAGGGATTGAAGTTTTGAAGACATTTGAAGCTCTTTTTCTTTGGTTTTTCTATTCCTCTTCCCTTTCTCTCTTGTAATCTAAAATGGGTCCAAGTATTTTGTGTATTTGAAGCTTATGAATGATTATGAATAGCTAAACTCTTTGTTCTAGGATTATTTGAAACTCTTGTGTGGATTAACACTAAGTTTCCCTTCTCTTTTTGTGATTAATGATATATATATGTTTAATTTACCCTTTTCTTAATGCTTCTAAGTGATTAGTCACCATTTAGATGTTGGGTTCACTTGATTGATACTTGAGAGGGTTAGGTTGAGTGTAGAACTTGGGTAAAATAGTACAAGAACTTAATATTTGCATGTTGAATGAATAGTTTTGCTAGTAAGATAGAGATATACTTGCTAGCCTTGTATAGTCACATTAGAGTTGGTTTTTAAAATTAAGTTTTATTAAATGTAACAAGAGATTGAGCAACTAATTTAATTAAACCTTTGTTTATGATTTGAGAGAGCTTGTCCAAATATTCTTAAAACCCTAGGTAAGTACATATCTTCATTAAAAGCATTTATGAGATGAAGTAATTTTGGTGTTATGAAATATAAGAGGGATAAATAATCCTAAGTCTCGATTTGTGCTTGAAGTTTGTGAATCATTCTATTTTCCTTATTTTTTATGTTAATTTACTTTGCAACATTATCTTCACCTAATTATGTTTTAGCTCAACTTGATTGAACTCACTTAATCTTTTGTTTAATCATTGTTTTTTAAAAAAATCTTGAGGGAACAATACTTTACTTTTATTATATTACTTACTACGACCCGTACATTTGCGGTAAGCAACAAGCTTCACTTGGTAGTTGTATAACTACCTTTTGTTTCATGAATGTATAATAGTATTGATAAATAATTAGGTTGCCAACTAGAATGCATGTGTGGTGACATTGTTTGATGACTTGCTTGTATAAATGATATTGCATCTCGCCAAATATATCACAATAATGAATATGTGGGTAGGTCTAGATGGTATTCAAGTAAGTATATATTATGATGTATAACTTGTTTTACTAGTAATGAATATGAATTATTGTGGGATAATGTGTACTTATATAAAACTTGACTAAATTGTGAGGCTTAACTCCATTTGTGTGTAAGTCAAGTGGATTTTGATTTTTGACTATATGATGGGGCTTAACCCCATATGTAAAAGTCAGATGGGTGAAAGTGAAACAAGTGTATTTTTGTTTGTGTGATTATGTGGTACACCTCATATAATATCACAAGTATATAATGTGGTATTGAAAGATTAAATTGTAATTGTGATGTGATATGACATGTCAATTAGTTGTATATAGTCCTTCTAAACTTGGTTCAAGGCCCAAAGCAATCTAATGATGTAAGATATGAGAATTGAACACTTAGGGTGCTCAATTTTAAAAGAAATGTAACTTTTTATACTTGAGCTTCAATTTAAGATTGAACTGTTAGATCGTATCCAGACTTATTTTATTAGATATATTATGTTATAACCTTCGTATGGGTGCTTGAATTACTCTGATCAAACATCAGAAGTGAAAATAATACACAGCAGAAGTTCATATTAGAAATCTACCATGACAACAGAATCTAATATAGCTCCTGCAAAGCATGGTGTGCAAGCCACAATGCATATCACAAAGCCAGAGCTCGATGCTCTGTACCATATGTTGTGTCACATGTGGTAAAGTCACTGTGCGTGGCACGTTTTTGGAAAATTCCATGCTTGATTTTTCTGATGATTGAGTTTTACCTTTACACTTTCGTGAGCCCTTTCTTATTGAATTTGTTTTCGATGAAGTCGTGATCCCATACTTTAAAAACAAATCAAGAGCTATATCTTTGTTATTATATGATAATTGTAGGTTAAGGTGTGGATGTACAAGTAAAGTCCAAGGTGAAAAATGGGACTTTGCAACATGATTAAAAGCAAAAGTAGCTTTGTTAAAGTTGACCTGATTAAAATAGACTACTTTGTCAAAAAGTAAAAGTTACTTTTGACAAAGGTGACTTAAAAGTAAAGACGACACTAATAGATTCCTATGCGCGATATAAAAACAAACTTGATTAAAGTAAAAGCAAATTCTCATGTGAATGATGATAATCACCTTAAGCTTTTGTGTATGCACTCCCTATTAGAAGATAGATTGAGGGATCTCTTTTCCTCTTTTTTGAATTGCCAGTTAATAAGATACATTAGTTATACACATTTTCTAACTAATTAAGACCATTTTACACGTACAATAAGAGTTCATATGCATTTATATCACATTCTTAGTACAAATTTGCTTAAATGTTAAATTGCATGTATTAGAGGTATTTTAGTTATAAAATGCATTTTTTCACCAAAGTGACATTAAACTTGAGAGTTATGTTTTTTTATGAGCTAGGATAATTAGTCAAATTAGTTTCTATTTATTCATCCTTAATTGGGAGTTATTGAGAAAAAAAAAACATTTTAATGTTGTCTCATTAAAAGATTTTCATTTAGCTATTGATTTTAATTCAAATGTATGCTTGTCTATATTTGTATCTTCTGAAGCTTTTATATTTATTTTTCCCTAGTCATTTTATCACTTTGAATGAATTAAATATTCTTATCTTATTCCAATTACATTACAAGAAAATCATGATTTAGCGAGGACTTTATTCCTCGCTAAATTTGCCTTATTCCTCTTTAAACTGTATTTAACGAGGCATTAATTTTCTTACTAAATTCACTACTAATTGAAGACTCATTATATGTTAGCAAGGAATAAAAATATTCCTCACTAATTTTGTGAGGAATTTGTGAGAAACTTATTTCCTCAAACTTTAGCAAGGAATACAGTATTCTTTGCGAATATATAGCGAGCCTTCAATTAACAGTGAATTTAGCAAAAAAAAAAAAAACTTCCTCACTAAATACAATTTAGTGACTAATTCCTTACTAATTATATATTTCTAGTGAGGCCATCTCACGAGGAATGCTGTCCTCACTAATTTAGTGAGTAATTGTGTCCTCTCAATGTCCTCGCTAATTGATATTAATATTTCATTAATAGTGATAGAATAGTAATGTATTGGCTCCTAGCTATTTTCTCACAAATTTGCTAATTAAAGAGGAATAACTTTCTTACTATTTCCTCTATAAATTGCACATTAGTTTTATAAGAATCAAAATTGTGATTATAAATAAATATTGTTCAAACAAGCAATCATGATCAAGAAATTTAAAGTACACAAAATAATATACCATAAATGGTTCAATCCGTTAACTATATATCAAAAGTCATTCAATATTACAAGAAATGTGGAGTATTAAACTCATTCAATGATATTACAAGAATTCTAAAAATATCTCACAAATATAAAATAAAGAAAAAACTTAGGGGAAAATACACAAGCCACACATAGCCAGATGCTGCTTCCTACATAGCAAACTGAAAAATCATCTCTGATAGGTCCCGCAAAACATAGAACAAAGACGTGTCAAAACTTGTGCCAAGAGACAAACAAAGTTATCCATTGCAGTTAATACGATCCATAAATTTAAGATGTGAATTTCAGACAATAAAACAAATAAATAAATAAACAGCAATCTTTTATTTTTCCTGTCATAAGCAAAAGAACACAATCATTACTTGCGGTACCTGTTTAGCAGAAGAAACTTTTGGTTCACCAGTTTCTTTGACTTTCTAACCTTGTTAAACATGATAAAGAGTAATACAATAAGGCTTGGACTTTATGACACATTAAGACACAATAAAGAGTAAAGCAATAAGGCTTGGACACAACCTGACTTGTAGAGAAGAAAAAATTAAATATCAATTTTACACACGTTTAGTTGAAATAACATCAAATTAAAGAATCAACAAAATTAAACAACTTTAAGAATTAAAAATACTCTAATCTATCAAACAATTGTGAGGAGAGCCATGATCATACGAGATCATGTAATACATGTGTCCATAAAACAGAATTTTTCTTCCATCAGACTGGTTGATTTCCTTCATGGTTATATTTGATATAAACTATATATAAGCAAGCCACCTATAATTTAAGCAGAAAGCACGACGCAAAGAGCCAAAACAGAACGGTTCCACAAGCATAAGATACTTTAACTAGGCCATTAAAGTAATGGCTAGGTGCAAAATCATCTTCATAAATGATAAACCATCAGTTATATAATGTTTAGGAAGGTTAACTCTTCTAAAATTAAACACATTGTATTACATCTATCAAAGAACATCATCAACCTCTAACCAAACCCATCTTCTGACTTGAAACTATTACCCAAACTTTTCATCCTAAACTGCAGTAGAATCAGTTGCAAACATTGCAAATACAAATCAAATTCGCCTGCATGTTTCTAACCTATTAACATTACAAAACAACCTATCCTTAGAAAGAAATCCAGACTTGAAATTTAATGTTGTTATATTGCACTGTTTCAACATTAAACCCAATTGCTACATCAAATCAAATAACAAAATAAATCGTCAGTAACTAACTATACATAAGATGTCTAACACTATATATACAAATTGTCTGCATTCTAATTCCAATTTTCCATATCTTGGACTCAGAAATAGGAGGATCGACATGTTATACATATCTATTTGGCCGAATGATTTAACAGAACGAGTCCCTAGAAATATAACAGGATAAAAAACCACATTAAAATAAAATTTCAAGATTAAAACATTTTCTCTATAGCTGGCAAGCAATAAAGACAAACCAATTATTCAGAAAGAAAGCATGACTCGTCCAAATCTAAAATGAGAGGGCGCTAACTTGGAATAGTGAAGACAACTTCACCCATTTGAAGTCGATCTATAAACAACCATGTATCAACTACAGAAAAATAATTATTAAATTAAAATTCAGTCAGGGCAGAAAATCATATCAAATCCTAAAGCAGAGCCCTGAAGCCCCCTGTAAAATGACAGAATAATTAATGTCACTATGACTATAATTCTGAATAGCTTACAAGGACGAGTGAGGGAGAAATAGCATGCCTGAGAAAAAAGGTCAGGGCTTGCTGCAAGAGAAGAAACACAATCTTCAAAGTATTGACGGTCTACAGACAAATAAGTAAAGCTCAATAACAGCAATTTAGGTTTTCTCACGTGCGATGGAGAAGTCATATGCAAACCTTGGAAAAGGACTCTCAACAGCAAATAGAACAGCGATGTGAACGACGATGGAGACGACGAATATGATTACAAGTTACGATTCAAATTCAAACTGCACGATGAAAGAAGATTTAAGAGATGAAGTGAAGAATGAGGTTTTCTCACCTGCGAGAGCTCAGGGGTTCTCACTTGTATCGCACAGACAGGCCGACTTGGAGGCCATAGGTTCAGATGAGGACAATGGACGAGTTGAGTCGACGATGGAGAGTCTGACTGGAGTGGGGTGCGACTTCACGAACGAGTGCAGGGTAGATCAAAGAAAATTCAAAGGAGTAGGATTGGGCATAAAAACAAATTGGAGGGAGTGGAACTGAATCAATGAAATTGTACGGGGAATATAATTTTTTTAAAAAAAATTGTATAAAAAAACTACATAAAGTAAAATCAATTTTTACACATAAGACATTACAATTTTTTTAAACAAATGGTACAACATTATAAATTTTTAAAAAATATTATACATATACATATAATACAATATAAAATAATAGTATTTTTAGTCAAATAGGTATTTTTCTAAAAATAAATAAATACAAGCTAGAACTTAGAACCCTTCTAATTTTTATTAATGTTTTAGAGAAGAATGATCATTTCTCGCTATCTAAACAATTTAGAAAGGACTATATTATTCGTTGCTATTTTCCCTCACTGATTAGGTAAATTAGAGAGAAATATGTTATTCCTCGCTAACGTTCCTTGCTAAATTTATTTTAGAGATGAAATAGAATTATCTTAATAAACTTCTCGCTAATTCAATCACTTAGAAAGGAATAACTAAGTCCTCACTAAACACTATAATTATTTGATTAAATTGTAACTTAGATGAAAAAATATGAAAATTGAAGACATAATTCAAGGCAATCAAAGAAGACTTTCAAAAGGCAATTTAGTCATGACATATTCAAATTTGAGGAGGTGCAAATTAGGCTTGCCAATTGTGCATTGTATTAGATCAACTCTAACTTTGGAATTATCATCAATTTCCCTCTAAAATGCTAGTTAGTATTAGCTACTTGAGATTCTAGTTTAAGACCACAATCACTTTGCAAATTTTCATCACTTTTCTCTCATTTTTCCTTAGCCCATTTCATGCTCCAAGTCCCTCATTTTGATCACACACTAATTTGCCCATCTTCAAATATTTTCTCTTACTTTCTCACTTGTTCTTCCATTTTCTCACTCAATCATCCACTCATATATCTCTCAATTCTCAACCAAATCATACAAGACCATTCTTATTCTTCTCCTCTCTAAAATCTCATTCAAACCCTTATAAGTATTCAAGGTTTGAAGCTCAAATAAACCATGGGAGAAGACAAGAGGTTCAACCAAATTGAGAATAACTTGATGGCTTCAACTATGTGATGGAAAGTTAAGGATCATGGAGGATTCTTAAGAGGGAGATAAAAGATATGGAGTTCACATATTCTTCTCTTGACTAAGGATCTTCTAATCCTAGATTCTCTTCATTTTACTTCAAGTTGTAATGCTAAATTTAGGTTGCAATTTGATTGGTTTATGACTCTAATTTAAGATAATCATCTTGTGCAACGAAGGAATGCTTGTAGACTCTATTCATTTGCCTTGTTCATAGCTTGAACTTTGTCCATATCATGTTGATACATAATCTTGAGTTGATGTGATATGATTTGTCTTGAATTAGCCTTTACATAATCTTGTGGGTTGGTTCCTTGACTAGAATTGGGATGTTGCATGATTTTATGATGATTTCATGTCTAATCCTTGCTTGGCCATAGCATTGCTTAAAGGAAGCACACTAAGACATTTAGTCTAGTTAGTTAGTCGTGGTTGCATTCACCTTAACTTAGGAAATTGAGTTAGGTTAACTAACTAATCTAACTAGGTTTAATTGAATCTACGTGGAAATTGATCCAGTGAGGAATGTATTCTTAGTTAAACACTTTAGTGAGCAATGAAATCTCTAACATTGAATTCTTAGGAATCTCCAAAATTAATATAAGGTATTTCATTTGTTTTCTTTAGCTTATTTGCACTAATGTTTAAGATAGCTTAGTGTACTTCAATTCTCAAACACTCGGGTAACTTATCCACTTGGTAATCTCACATTTGAATTTAGCCACTAACTAGGGAGATTACTTATGGTTAACCCTTTACTGCATCAAGGTTGAAATTAGTAACTGTTTTGAAATGTGTGTGATTAGCCTAGTTACTAGGATGAAAGGCTTTCTACTTGTTTTTCATCAAAGTCTTCACCCATATCCTCTTGTTCTTTGGATAACCTAAGAGATAGAAAGTCTTTTGTTTTTGAGAAATGTTGACAGTACCAGGGTTCTAACTCATAAGTGTCATGACTGTCTAGAGGAGGAAGCAAAGAGGGGTTTTTGGATTCTAAGAAGATGGTGTTCCATGTAAATACATACATGTTGAGTAACACTTTTGAATAGTAATATGGGCAAGCCATTTTGGATTCTAGTATTGTACTGATGATAATAGCTCATCAGAAATAACAAGTTGATATAGAATAGGACCAAGAGATGTGCACCTGATGTTAGGATTTGTGTAAGAGAAATTATTCATTTCACATAAAAAATATTTTAACTCAAATAAAACTAACTTTTTACATGATGACCATTTAATTGAGGTTCTTCACAAACAAGCTTGATTAGTAACATAGAGTTTTTTATGGTTGTTTAGGTGATAGGGATGATGAATAACAAAGAAGGAGTAAGCTTTTTATTGATTCCAAGATATCTTCCATAAGCCATAGTTTTCAATCACCTGAAAGAGTTCCTTGTAGCAACAGGGTAACAATAAAAACTACTCAAGAGAGGTCCAGAGGTTAGAACCTTAATTAGTAAAATCACAAGATAATGATAAATAATCAAAGGAGGAAAAGCTAATGCATATGCATAGAGGGATGAGAGGGACCAAAGGTACCACATGGCCTCATCTAGTATGGGGCCTCTAATGTATAGTATAGCTAGGTATGAGGTTTGACTATCGAAGAACTCAAGCTCGGGTTTAATTTGGGTTTTTTAGAGGAAAAGGTGGACTTCTTTTAGCTCACTGGTGGACTTCAGAGATAATCTTAAGATTGAATCCTGGTGGAAAAACTAGTTGTCTAGGCATGATGTTAAAAATAAAGAGAGGTTGGTTGCGCGAGGGTGTTGTGAGGTTGATCTTTTTTAAAGTTTGGTAAGATAGTCTACAATGGTGTTGTGATTTCCTTTAATATGGCAAATTATGAATTTATACTGGAAAAACTAATCTTTCCATTAAAGGAGTTGAGGTTCAGGAAGTATCTTTTTGTTTTGATCAAGAATCTTTAGGAAAGATATATTATCTAATTCTACCACGAAGTGCTAGTTAGGATGAAAGCCAAAATTTTTAATGTCACGTTTCATAGCTAGGACTTTTTTATAGGCATATGGTAATGCTTTTTAAAGGGTTTGAATTCTCCACTAGCATGACCACAATAATATCTTTTCCTATTATCTTCTTCAATGAATATTGTTCCCCAATAATCATCACTTACATCAGTTTTTCAAATCCTTTATTCTTTATTAGGGATCCTTAGCGGTGGAAGATGTTGACAAATTTATTTCAAGTGTTGAACAACTTTAGTTTGATTAATTCCCTATGGAGTTGGATTTTTTTTTTTGCAATAATTTAAAGAGCTAGCTAGTATGGTTTGACACTTTAGGGACTAAGTCTTTGATGTAGTTCACAATTCCCAACAACTCTTGAATTTGAGTTTTTGATAAGTTTTCATCTAGAAATTTCAATAGTTCCTGACCAATATGTGGACTAAGCTGATATTGTCTGTCTTGTATAATCATTCTTAAAAATTTTATCTTGGCTGCACCAATATGACCTTTACGAGCTAAGAGTATAATCCCATATTGTTGAATTATCCTATAGAACTAGGCTAATAGATATTTATGTTCTTGTTTAGTTTTTGAGAATAATAGGATGTCATCATATAGACTATGCAATTATTGATTATGAGCTTAAAAATATAGATCACAGCCTTTTAAAATAGTGATAGGATCGTCTTAAGCCCAAAGAGCATAACTGTCCCCTAGTGTTAAGCATTAGGAATGCAAAAAGCTAGTTTGTAAAGTTTTCCTGGACCAATTTCTAATTACCAAAATTCTACTTTGAGATTAAACTTAGAAAAATTTTTACCTAACTTGAGACAGACTAGTTGAGTGTGGATCTTTAGAAGAGAAAATTTGTCACGTTGCAAGAAAGCATTGAGAGGCTTATAATTAATCACTAGCCTCTCTTTTTTTCTTTCCTTTTCTAATCTCTTCTCAATATAAAATGCTTGACACACCAAATCTGACTTAGTGGGTTCAATAAGTCCTTACTTGAGTAAGGCTGCACATTCTTCTCTAGCTAGTACAAGATCCTTTAGGTTCATTTTAGGATAGGAAGCCTTTGTAAGATTGATATCCTTATTCTTCTTAAATGATAACTTAATGAACAACTCTTTATTTTTCCATAGAAGGAATGGATGCTAGAATTGATCATGACTTTTACAATAAAATTAAAGGAGTTGATCCCCAACTTCTTCACAGCCTAGAGGGGCTTAATTGATTTCTAAAATACTCAGGATATCAGTAAATTTGATAAAGAATTATTTGAACTTTAATCCTGTAGTAAGTACCTACAGATTCATTGTCTGTCGATAAACATTAAAACATATAAGAATGTCTTTTGTTAGTGGACTACTCCTAAGGGGTTTAGTCCAAACTACACATCAAGGGAAGAACCTTATGCCAATCTTTCTCCTGGTAATGAGGTCTATCTTAAAAGGTTTGCTAACAGCTGTTACAAAAAATTCTTTATGAGGAATCCATTCTTCTTTAGGAAGGATGTGGGGCTTTATGACACTTTTGCAAGAACTTGTGTCAATAAAGGTAATGACTGAAATGGGCTTATCATATTCTGGCTAACATCATTTTAAAATTGCCAGTTGAGAACTTCTTCTACAAATGACAAGGGTTTGAGAGTCCCTTGAGGGGATACTTCATTTATTGTAACAAAAAATCTACAGGTGACCTTAAATTTTTCATCAGTCATGTATTTTAAAGGACCAAATTTTTCCTCATAAGGCTTTATTATATCTATGTAGGGTAAAGCTTGAGATTGAGTAGGCAAGAATGTTGGAATCACAGGTTGAGGTTTCTCCAATGGAAGATCTTCATAGCCAAGTTCTTTAAGAAGTTCAAAAAGGGTACTCCTTTCAATGGGAGGATTTAGAGATCCTACCCATCTTCTTCTTCTAGTCCGCTTTAGGCCATGGTTATCATTATCATGATTCTTAAAAGGATGCTTATGTTTGTAAGGAGATCTAAGCTGCTTAGGCTTCCTAGAAATTGTTTTAAAACCATACCATTCATCATCACCATCAAAGTTATCCCAAAAGTCATCGCCATGATCACACATTTCTGGGGCACAATCTCAAATAAAGTAACCATTAATATGGGAGACATAGACTAGCTTGGCTTCTTGAGTGAACCACTCTACATGAGGATTTTTCTTATGCTAGATATAGGCTAGTGCAATTGTCAAGATTTTGCTAGAGATTTAGGATAGATCTTGAAATGTAGTCCTTTTGAAAACTGACTTGATAATCCTATCTCCTAAACTATACAGAATAAGGGATTATGTTGTATAAACATCTTTGTAGTTACAATAGAATTCTTTTTCATAATTATTGATCCATTCGAATGGCATTAGCTAGGCAAGCTCTTTTATAGGAAGATGTCTTAGGATCTGAATGATTAAAGATTCACCAAGTCTTTCTGCTTTCATATATAAAGCATCCCTAGTTGAATTAGGGAAATAAAGATTAAGGGAATGGTTTCGAAACCTATAAATGATCTAATGGTGAAGATTAGCTATAGTGGCTGAAGAGTCTTGCTCTGCTCTGACTATTTGGATTTGGACCTTTGCTCTGGTAGAGAGAATAGGATCTATAAGCTTAAGGTTAAAATCAAGGGCTATGGTGAGAATCACACTCCTTTGGTTTAGAGTAATCAACAAAGTGCCAATCAAGGCATTACTATAGGACTTGTAGCTAGCATCTAACAAGGATATCCTAGTTGTAGCAAAAATATCTTTTCTTTTATGAAGTGTCAAAATTAGACACACATCTTCAACATGGAGGTGTGTATACCCTTGGTCTTTCCAAGTGTTTGTTAAAGGCTAAGGAATTTCAATGGTAACATATTCTTCAACAATAATGACCTAAAAACCACACTTATCAAGCTTGAAAGTTTGGACAACTTCATTTACTTGAGGTCGTTGAATAGAAATTAAGGATCTAATACCCCTAGTGAAAGAGTTGGTTCTATGATATAGTTTGTAAAAATTAAGAAGAGGAAGGTATGTGTTTTGGATATGGGCATCTTCTGATAAGATAGTGAATTCTACAAGGTTTTCTATCTTATTGGAAAGGGTTTATTTATAGAGAAAGGTAAACGTTCAAAAAAAAAAAGCACTAAAGAGATTCTGACAGGTTCAAAGGATATCCTTAATGTCTCTAGTGTTTCACTCATATTTTCTAGGTTCTCCTTGCTCACTTTCATCAATAATATCCTCTTTTGTCAAGAAGATTTACAGCACTAACATCACGACAGGTCTTCTTACTTCTTTTGCTTAAGGTTGTTGAGTAGAAATTAAGGATCTAATGTTCTTAATGAAAGAGTTGGTTTTATGATATAGTTTGTGAGAATTAAGAAGAGGAAAATCTGTGTTTTGGATACAAGCATCTTCTGACAAGATAGTGAATTCTACAAAGTTTTTTATTTTATTGAAAATGGTTTGTTTTACAAAGAAATGTAAACATTCAAAAGAAAGGACTGAAAAGAATCTAATAGGTTCAGAGAATATCCCTAAGCTCTCTGGTGTTTCACCCATAGTCTCTAGATTCTCCTTACTCACTTTTATCAATAATATTCTATTCCTATCAAATAGATTTATGACTATGATACCACGTGAACGAGTCTTGTCAACCACCCATTCCATTACAATGCAATCTGAAAATCTTGCAGCAAATTTTTAAATTTTTTAAAACCCATTGGTAAATATATTTTTTTCCCTCTAATCCTTAATTAAAATTTCCTATAAATTTAATCATAAATATTGTACTTCAAGGGAAATCAAATTAAAGTATCATTTTCCTGTTGGGTTATAATTTTTTTTTTTCAACAAAATCTGTTGGATTATAATTTTTATACGAGTTGGTTTCAATACGCTGATTTCAGGTTATAAAACAAAATTCTGGAGATAAACTCAATATTTTTTTCTTGGGAAAACAGAATAACTTAAAGAAAAGAAAGGAATTTCAAGTTGACAGAGAAATATTATTATCTCATTTTATCAACTACTCTATTGTTTTTAGGTTTCAGTTATACTTATCATCAAGAATGACTTGCATAATTCTTAAAGTAATGATGAATTAATTGAAATTGAAAAAAAGAGAGCTGTTAATCAAAATATCATACAAACAACTCCCAAAAAGTCATAGGCATTGAGAGACACTTATCAGACTTGGAAGACTATCATTAATAAATTAAACTCTACAACATTAATTTGGCAAGATTTTAACATGTTCAACTAGGCTTCTGAGGAATTTTTCAATAACAGCAGAAATTGAAAACAACTAATGTGTTGGCCAAAAAAAAAAAACAACAACTGATGTCGAACGCAACAGTTGCGTGGGAGATCCAGATGAATTTGAGGCTGGCTCCTCAGAATTCTTAATGACGGGGACGTAAATGATAAATCATAACGCAGTAAGATTCAATACTCTGTTTCCAGGACACCATCTATGAGACCAAACTCCAAAGCCTGCAACCACAAGAAAAAGCAACAAGGACTGCTTAAAATTTAGGATGGGGTCAGAAAACAGTGAACAGATCCTTCCTCTAGTTTAGGCAGATTCTTAAATACATTCAGCAAAAGATCGGTGGAGTCAAACAACTGATAAAACAGTTATTCACAACCTTCATCTTGCTGAGAAGGCAGGAAATTATTGAGAGTCCATCCAATGACCATGCAACAAAATCTCAAAGTTATTTAAGAATTGACCACAGTACCTCAGAAACAGACAGAAATCGGTCCCTCTCAGTGTACTGTTGCACCTTCTCTAACGGTTGACCGGTGAAAGCAGAATACATCATGTCAATTTTCTGTACCCCAGATAAATGAGAAAGACAAGGTAGTTAGGCTAAGCATTGCACCAACTGTCAAAATAATACAACTGCTATCATGGAAACTTGAGACCAGAATGTATGAATGTATCGTGCACTCTGAAAATTGGGACTTTAAGATCCTCCCTCCGAAAGCCAAGTGAAAAATATAGACTTCCAGATAGAGACAACTGATTACTCCAGACTCAAAACCCAATAATGTTGTAGAGCCCCTTCTATAATTGTCATAAATATTTTTACGGTAAAGAATATAATTACTCCTAATGCGCTTTCACAAATTACTACACCTCTGAATCCCACAATACACACAAATCTAACAGTTTACTTAGGTGTTTCAGCCATGAGTATATAGGAACATTCAACCAAGTAGGAGAAAAACTAACATGGCGAGATTGAACAGCTTCATTCACTTGGCGTCTCACATCTTCTACATGACCCTACAAGCAGATCAAGTCAAGCACCGTGGTTAATACAATGTGCTTCAATTCTTTTCTCTTGCACACAAACTAGAATCCAGTATTTATTTCCTCTTCCAAATCAACAGGGAAGTATGCTTCTCTTTCATGAATTCTCATTTTCTCAAGTGCATCATCCCTAACAAAATAACAAGGGATCAATTCTTACGCCACATCCACTCTGAGGTTGATGTATCATAATGCGTGCATTTGGCATTGCATAGCGCATCCCTTTCTCTCCACCAGCAAGGAGAAGCGCTCCTTGGCTTGCAGCTACTCCAAAACATACTGTACCAACCTTGGGCTTGATCTGGAAACAAATGGCTATACACTTTCACAAGACGAACATTAACCGCAAGGAATTTGAAAACTAGCAAAGGTGAATATGTTGTAATTGTGCTCAAAAGATAAATCATTAGGGAGGAATTCAGAAAACTTTTACATTCTTACCCAAGACATGCAATCATAAATTGCCAACACTGAATATGTGCTTCCACCAGGGCAGTTTAAATATACCTACAGTTATAAGCAGCTCAGTATAAATACCACTCCGAACTTTACAAGAGTCAAATAACAATTGTCAAGACGTATCAAACCAGTATGTCTGCATCCTGATCAATAGTAGCTAGCGTCACAAGCTGCGAAATAACTCTCTGAGCCACTTGTGAGTTAACTGGCTGTCCAATGAATATTATGCGATTTCTGAACAACACAGATGATAGATCCAGAGGTCCTCCTGGAGTGAAGACTGCTGGCATTATGGGTGGATTCCCCTTTTTAGCTTCTATTGCACCATAACTACAAATAAATTGGAAAATCAATAAGTTCTTTGCTCACATTCAACTGGCCCAAAATGAAAAGACAAAGCAACAAGAATTCATGTCTCTATGAGAGCCTTCCAAGATACAGGTCCAATGGAACAAAGATTCAGACAAAATCGCTTCAGATTTTCCATTTCTTTCAGAATAAAAAAATATTTTTAATTATGATTCAGACGAAATGTTAAGCATCTAAGAAAAGGTATCTATAGTCAAGCTATGAGATGACTTGCCACAACCTGCAGTATAGATGGTTCATGGTATTTATCATCATTCTTCACCATATTAGCTGAATTCTTCTGCTAAGTTTTCTGATGAAATGCTTTTTAACCTAACTTTCCGCAACCAGCATACAGATAGTATCCATAATACAATCATTTGCTTGCCATTAAGATAACAAAAATAACAGAATTGATCAATAGTAACAAAATGATACACGAATCAATTGAAAGAGGAAAGGGTTAATTGTATACCTTGTAGTAGCATCATGGACGATTTTCTCATCAAGTTTTAAAGGAAGACCACGGCTTTTACTTGAGAAACCTGGATAAAATAAAAGTTCCATATCAAAACAAAGTTTCATTGTCAAAATGAAAATAGTCCATGTGCATGATTCGTAACCACATAAGCCATCCATACATGCAATTTGCAAAATGTATTCGGTCAAACCAACAAATACATCATATATAATACACAATTAAGTTTGAAATCATATACAAGTCACCTACCATGAAAAACTAGACTAGTTCCCGCTTACTCACAACACTAACTGCACCATATAGGAAGCATTAGTATGAATGAAGCACTGATACGAGTATGAGTATCGGATATCATACGACATGATATGCAGACATGGCAATTTTTAAAAATTTTAGGATACGAATACGACTATATAAATAATTAAATATTTAGATATATACATATATTTTCAATACAATAAGCAATTAAATAATTAAGCAATATCAAATAGCAAAAGATAAATACTTAAAGCAAACAAATATATATTATCTAAATTTAAAACAAGTTGTGGGCTATAATATTGATCTATGAAGCACCAATATGAGTACGAGTATCAGATACGATACGGCATGATACGCAGACACAGCAATTTTCAAAAAATTTAGAATATAGGTACGACTATATATATTAATTAAATATTAAATATCTAGATACATATATATATCTTCAATACAATAAACAGTTAAGCAAATGTTAAAATTAAAAAAATAAAAATTATATTATCTAAATGCAAAATCCATAGCTCAATAACATAAAATTGTAGGATTAACAATAACATTAACGGTGAAGTTAAAAGGAAAAAAAAACAACAACAACAAGCCTTTATCCCACTAGGTGGGGTTGACTACATGGATTGCAAAACGTCATTGTGCTCTATCATTTACCAAACTTTTAAAAATATTATTAATTAAGAGATTGCGTTCAACAACTTTCAGGAGTATTCTCTTAAGCCTTCCTCTACCCCTCTTAGAGGACTCAAAGTTATATGTTCTACCCTTTTCAATAATACTCTCGCGGTCTTCTTTATACATGCCAAACCATCTCAAACGATTTTTTACCATTTTTTCCTCGATAGATGCTACCTCCACTTTTTCACGTACGTGCTCATTTTGAATTTTATCTATATGTGTCTGTCTACACATCCATCATAACATTCTCATCTCTACTACTCCAACTTTATGCTCTTGTTGTCTCATTAGAACCTAACATTCACTGCTATATAACATAGTCGGTCTAATAGCAATACAATAAACTTGCCTTTAAGTTTATTAGGCATCTTACAGGTCGCAAAAAACTCCTTTAACTTTTCTCCAATTAAACAACCCAACTTGAATCCTATCTGTAATATTCTTGCTAATTTCGCCATCATTTTAAATAATAGCTCCCAAATATCTAAACCTTTCCACTTGAGGTATAATTTGATCTCCCAATTTTACTTTCTAATTACTATCGACTAGTCTCTTACCAAATTTACAATATAAATATTCCGTCTCCTACTCAGACGAAAATCTTTACAATTAATTTCTTCTCTTGTCTCAGCTATAAGAACTATATCATTTGTGAAAAACATACATTTGAGAATTTTTCCTCGAATATGTTCCCTCAAAACATTTAGGATCAAGTTAAATAAATAAGGATTCAAACATAACCCCTAATGTAGTCCAATCTTTATAAAAAAATCCTTTGTTTGACTACTAGACGTTCTTGTACTAGTTTTTACCCCGTTATACATATCTTGTATAACTTTAATATAAATAACCCGTACTCCCTTCTTTCCTAAGGCTTTCCAAAGTACCTCTCTTGATATACAGTCATAAAATTTTTTCAAATCAATAAAAACCATGTGTAAATTTTTATCTTTACGATACTTTTCCATTAATCCCCTTAATAGATAAATCACCGCTATAATCAATCTACTTGGCACAAAACCAAACTAATTCTCAAAAATACTTGTCTCCAATCTCAACTTATGCTCAGTTACTTTTTCCCACAATGAAAAGAAAAAGAAAAAAATTATTACTGTGTCTGGATTAACTTGTGTGATTATGAGAATATAAAGGGCCAAATTGTAATATTTTCCTGTCTGTATTTTTCAGAATTAATTTAGCCACCTTCAATTATTAATTTTCTCACTTATAACAATTTTAGCTACAAAATTTCAAAGTTTAAAGCACAACTATATGCCCAAAGATAGCGATAGAATGGAAGATATGACCAAAGGTAGGCAATTCAAGAATGGAAGAACTAACCAGAGAAGAAGCACCGAAGAACTTACCTCGGAGAAACAAAGTGACAAAACCAATTTCTATATGAGGAGGCCGGAGAAGAAGCAACGAAATACAAAGTTGAGGTCAAAAAAGACATTGAAATCATGACCGAGGAGGCACTGGAAAGACAATGCGACAGTGGCAATGGGTTAAAGAGCCAAAGAGATGCTCGCACACAACAGATTTTGCAGAAATTAGATGAAAGGGAAGAGGCTCAACCGGATGAATGAAGCAAATAGGGCTCTGATTTTGGGAAGAAAAAAGCACAAAATTGCAGAGTGTCGTGTCCAACCCATGTCTACCTGAACTTGCCTATGCCCACCTGTACAAATCCATGTTTGGCCGTGTTCGACGAAAGATAAAAAAGCGAACACACCGCATCCGCATCTTGAACATGTTCTGACATGGACACAGCAACATTTTGGGTGTGTCCGTGCTTCTTAGATATTGATAAAGTGAGACTTGGCAAATTTGTAAATATTTTTGTCAAAATATGAAGCACTGATACGAAGAAAAAAGGCAACCACTTAGAAATCGATATTATTGCATGATGTCACAATTTAAAAATATTAAGCTATATTATTGCATGATGAGGTAATCCTTGCTAGGGAAAGAAACCAAGTTTTGTGAGTGACGTTAGTTGGGAGTAATCGCGACTCGAGAGACAAACCAACTAAGGAGAGGAGAGAAGGTCGGACTGGCTGAGCGACTTTGGTTGAATGGTTGAGCTACACGACTACGCTAGGTGAGAGGATGAGCGAGGCTAACAAAGTAGGGCAGAGAAGGTCGAACTATCGTCAGCGAGTTGATCAATGCTGCTGCTTTAGGAACGGTCACCAAACTCTCCAATCAGATTCCAAGGCAAAGACACAAACACAGAGCTGCTATGGTAGCTGCAGAGCGACACCAATCAGGCGAGGTGGCGAGGGATTTGGAAATGAAAGTTTCAGAGTCGACAAAGCAGGGCATCTTGTTTTGGGGAGAAAAAAATCACCAAAACACTGTGCGTCGTGTCTAGTCCGTATCCACTAGTACCCACCCATATCCATCGTACTAGCCCGTTCCTGACTGTATCGACACAAACTAAAAACACGGACACACCACATCCGCGTTCAACACGTGTCTGTGTCAGATACGCATCCGACATGGACACGGCCATTTTGGCGTGTCTGTGCTTCTTATGAAACAAATTGCACAGATAGTCTCATGTATCCTAGTTTTGAATAGCTGCAAAATTTTAAATTACAGCTCAAAAAAACAGCAAAATAGGAAAATTACCAATTTTTGTTGGGTCCACGTATGGACTTGGCAAGGAAGAAGCTATCGACCATGGGTTTCTGTGAAACAGCAATCCATGCTCAGAATTTGAAGTGGCAAATAGTATAATCCAGCTTGGAGGCAATAAATTAGGTAAATTGATAGCAATTATACGAACCTGTGAGAATAAACGAGGTTGGATGAGTTTAGGTTGCGAGAAGCAATAGATAAGCTCGCAATGGCAGGAACTGAGATGGCCAGAGCTACCATCTTGCAAGAAGAGAATTGAACACCAAAGCTGAAACAGCAACAAGAACAAGATTTTTTATTCAACAAAGAGTTCGGTCCTATAATTAAGGGTGCATATGGGCAGGGCTAGGAAGGACCCTACCTAATGCCCTACCTGCAAAATGCCCTATTAGCTTGGACTAGGCACCTTCGAGCTACCCTACCCATCAACCCGAAATAAAATTACCATAACCCCACAATCAGAGCCCTACCCCTCAAGGCATCAACTTAAAATAACATCCATAAAGGTAAACCATAAATCCATAATAACAACTACGATATCCAATTATCCATAATTCAATCCAAAATGACAGCTACACTCCATTAAAAACAACAAATTTTACAAAAGCTTGGGGCATCATGAAAAACAACAATTTCACATAGTAGACTCCAATTTACAAAAAGTTTCTTCCCAATTCCCAACTTGCATGAATGTAAGAGGAAAAATATCATAGCTGAACAACAAAATTGCAGGAACATACATGAAAATTTGAAGAAAAATGAGAACCAAAATGTAAGAGAATTAAAAATAATGTATAAGTTTGCAGAAAAATCAGCAAGAAATTAACTGAAACGAAATACATAGGTTGCTGTTTGTGTAGGTGCAATATGGGTTGGGGTTTGTGTAGGTCCAGTAAGAGTTGGTAAATGGGAAGGCCTAGTAAGGTTTGGTGTTTGAGATGTTCCAAAAGGTGATGCAACCGAAGCTTGATCCTCCATACTAACATAAAAAAATTACAGAACCACAAACTATTAGTTAAGAAGGATCTAATCATTGTGTCTGTGTGTGTATCATCAGTTGTTCAAAAAACATATTACTTTATCATTTTTTTCGTCCATGAAACAATGAAAACCTCATCAATAATTCACACACACATAACTCCAAAATGTAATCCAAGTCCAACAATGCATGATTTCAATATTCAGACAAATCCTTCAGCCTTAAGCTTTTGAGATGCACATCTCATTTATAAACAAATAGGTTCAGCATTGCAAATCAATTTTTAACATAAAGTTTAACTTGAAATATGGCTACAATCAGCATCGGAACTCACAATCCAAGTTTTCTGAAAATATTAACACAATAGCACACAAGACGATTAAAAGAAAATATTTCCACAAACCATATTCTTCTTAGTCCATCAACTTAACATCCTCATCAGTTTAAATCTTCACATACTCCAAGTCAAATAAATTGCAAGTGCATGAACATGTTACACAAAATTTTATCATACATATAACCTGTTGTCCAGGATCGACAGGTTAGCAAGGTCATTTAATTAGTTCATAAAAGCATCGACAAGTCGTCCAGGATAATCAGGCACTAAATGCATGATTAGATTCTAAGATGCTAAGTTTGTCGACATGATTCTAAGATTCTAAGATTACATTGGACTAACAGGGCCACAGGATAAGGTTAAGAAGATGGTTATCTCAGACAGATTCTAAGATTACATTTGCGAGGTGCAAGGCATGGATACTAATTTAAACAACTAATGAATGTAAAGGAAAAATTTAAAAACCTGGGCAGAGTGAAGGTCGTCGGCACCTTCGAGAAAGGGGAGAGAGGAGAATGGCCACGAGGTGCTGGGCGCTTCTGCACGACGACGGACCTGTTGTGCTGTCACGAGAGCGTCTGTTCTGTGCTACGACGGAGCTTCTCTTTCTAGAGAGGAGAATGACGAGAGACCGAGAGAGTGTCGAAGGAAGTCAGGAACGGCACTGTGCTGTGGAGACTGGAGAGCGAGAGACCGAGAGACGCCGTCGTCGAGAGCAAGAGGGGAGAAGGAGAAGGCGGAACGTGGCGGCGTGGTGGAGACTGTAGAGGGTGAGAGGAGAGTGACGGGCACAGGCTGACGGCTAGGGTTAGAGATTGGAGTGTGGGGCTGGAGATGGGGCTGGCAGGTTACCGGAAGAGCAACCGAGCCATTCTCACCCCGTGTGCTGTCCTTGATCTTATTTCATATCTCAACGTTAATTAAAATTTTAAACCACATAATTTATTAAATTTATAATTAAAAATTTAAAATAATAAAAATACATAAATTATAATAATTTAAAATTTATTATGAAATTATATCAATTATAACTATAAACATATAATATATTACAATAATAATTATAAATGTTAAGCAATAAAGACAACAATAATAGACAAATCAAATGTAATATTAAATTATTATTATTTTAATTAAAATATGTTAAAGTAATTACTTTTTTTAAAATAAAATATAAATAACAATTATTAAATAAATTAAATATAAAAATAAATTTATTAAAATAATTAATATATTATAAAAAAATATCACACTATACTATTTACTCTGAGATATTAAATTATTCATATAAAAAATATTTAATTTTAAATAAAAAGTATACGTATTAAAATTATAATTAATATAAATATAAATAATATATTTAATATATATTTTTAAAACAAACAATAAAATAAATAAGGTTGGATGAGTTTAGGCGGGGAGAAGCAATAGATAAGCTCGCAGTCACAGGAACAGAGATGGCCGGAGCTACCATCTCGCCGGAAGAGAATTGAAAACCAAAGCTGAAACAGGCGACAAGAACAAATTAGTTTTTTGTAATAAGAACAAAATTTTTTATTAAACAAAAAGTTCGCTTCTGTAATAGCCCATTGGGCCATTTTGGCTCTGTTTCTTGACAATGGTGATTCAAATGTGTCCCATGCGCCATTTATACTTGAATTTAGATGGACAAAATGACAATAAAAGATTCTAAGCTTCAATGACAATAGATAACAAATCTAAAAAAATAAAAATTATGTTTATAATTAAGGTGAACACTTTTGTTTTTCAAATTAATAATTGATTATTTTTAATTTCACCATTCAGGTTTCTTAAAGTTACAAATTTTTAACATTTTTTAATGAAAAAATTTAGTTTAGAAAAAATAGTGATGATGTTGGAAAAATAACTCTTGTAGTGAATTTGATGTATTATTTAGTATCATTTACCATTAAATAAATAAATATTATTTAAAATAAGACTAAATTAAAAATATAAAGTATACAAAAGTATGAGATACTAATCATTTAAAAAACATTGTAAAAAAGAGGCAAAAATATCATGTTACAAAATTATAAGTTGTTTGCCACAGCTAACGATGCATTTACTACGGCGAACTATGTTGAGGCTGATTTAATTTACATAATAGTCAATATTTTATACATAAATGGTGTGAGTAATTTGCTCAAAATTTTAAAGTTCATAATCCAAAGCACTATTAATATAATAGTTCAAAGTTGATAATGCTACTAACATAATAGTTTAGAATGTACGGCACTAATTCACAATGAGAAGTTAGAGTTAATTAGGGCCCATTGTGAACAGTAATTCATGAACAATAATGATGTTAAAAAATTTAATGATCAAGGTTTATCTGTTATGAATTTAAAAGTTTAAAGTTTATTTTGCACATTTTAAAAATTTAATATTAAAGATGCTTTTTCAGGCAATACTTTATGGCTTATTTTGCTCATTAACATTTTAAATTTTACTCTTGCGATATACATAACCTTGAAATAGTTGTAGATTATATTTAAGTTTTTCAATAAAATATTGTTTAGCAAAGTACCTTTTCAATTTTGAAATATAAACCATGCATTGACAAATCATATTTCCACATAAAATAAAGATGGAGAAACAATTAATCAAAATGGAGTTAAGTAAAGAATTAAGATAAATTTCAAGCATGGCTTTGTCCATTTCCAAAAAATTCATATAATATGTTCGATCACAATTTCAAGTAAAGTTCAAATAATTGCAAGAGTCAAATAGAAAAAAAACCACCTATGAAAGCAACAAATTATAAGTTAAATTTAAAGAATTATAAGCTGAACTCAATATATATATAGTTAATTGTTACTGATTCAAAAAATTATTTCTTCTGTGAACACCGTATTTTGTCGGGGCATTTTTTTTTTAAATTTTAATAATAAAAAATCAAAAAAATATATAAAATATAAAAATGAAATTTAATCCCTTTTTAAGATTATATTTTCAAAAAAATAATAATAATGATAATTTAACAAAATAAAAAAAAGGGTTAAATCTTGAAAAGAAAATCTCTCCCAAATTATCCCAATCATTCAAAATATTCAAGAATCAACTTTTGAGAGTTAATTTTTGTTATCTTTTTCTTTCTCTCTTTAATCTGTTTTTTTTAAAAAAAGAGAGAGGGAAATATTTTGATTTAACTCAAAATTAATTTCTTTTTCTCTTTTCTTTCTTCTTCCTTTTAATCGAATTCTTCAAGTTAAAAAAAAAGAGAGAAGAAGGGATAGCAGGACGTACATGTTGGTAGGCTGGAGAGAGGAAATGAGAAAAGAAATAGACTGCCGTACACACACACACAGCTCTTTCGGCTTTGTAACAGAAACAGAGATGCAGAAACAGCAAAGATGAGAGACTAAATGCGGGCACAGAGACACAGAAACAAGCACGCATGCAAGGTAAAAAAACAGCAAGTGTAGAGCATACACATGCAACATAGAAAAGAGAACACACACGCACGTACGCTTTCGGCTGGGCACAGAAGAAGCAAAACAAAGCAGAAAAACAGCAAGCAACCGGAACACGTACGCATATGCTGTCGGCTAGCAAAAAAAAACAGAACCAAGGACACATGCACGTACGCTGAAGACGGCACAACAGAGAAAGAAGATGGGACAGCACAGAAAAATGAGAAGAAATAAAGACAGAACAACACAGACAAAAAAGAAAGAAAAACAGAGCAGAGACGCAGGTGCACAGAGAAGAACGCAGCAGAAAGGAAGAAGCGGAGCAGGAAAGCAGGAATTCACCTCTTCCATCCCCTATATAAGACCGAGCGTGAAACAGAGGCGGGACGGGTTTTTTCTGGACTGAAAAAAGAGAGAGAAACAGACAGACAGAAGAAACAGAAAACAGAGCACGAAAAACCAAAGGAGAAGAGAAGAGAAGAGTGACCGAGAAGGAGAAATAAGAGCGTGAAAATGGAGAAAGGGAGAGACCAAAGACGTGAAATAGAGGCTGAGGGAGAAGGGGCTGTTCTGACCAGAGAAAAGGAGGGAAACCGAGAAGAGGCGAGGAGTGTTTCTGGCAAAAAAAACAGAGGCTGAAACGTGAGGGAGAGAACTCAAAGCTGAACAAGAAAGCAGAGGCGACGGAAAAACACCGAAAAGAAAGCAAAGGCCGAGAGAAAGAAGAAACGAAGAGAGGAGGGGAATACGTCATTCGGTATAGTCATCTTTCTTCTTCCTCTTAATGATCGCTGGTTTATTATTGAGTGAACAGAATGTTATGCGTATGATTTGCCTTGCTTTCTTGCTTTTGAATTTGAAAGGCACACGTTCGATTCAAATTTATTTTTCATATTTAAATACTTGTCCCACACATTTTTTTTTAGTTCTCAAATGATTTCATTGCAATTGTCATATTTTTTTTTTAAGAAAAGAGAGCTTGAAAAAGAAAAATAAAGAAATTGCAAATAATAATTTTTGCTTCCTATCATAGTTAAGCTAAATTTGATTATTAGGCATAGTTTCACTTCAAATAGAGAATTAGTGTAATTATTAAGCAAGGTCTTTAAGTGTGTATATTAACATGTATGAGCATTATTTCCTTATCTCCATTAGTGCTAAGGTCCTTTACTTGTCATTAATATTGCTACACTCATATCATATGGCATTCTCCATCACGATTACATGTACAATTTCATTTATTATGACAAGCCTATTTTATAAAAGGCAGAATGGAGAGAATTCGATTCTTGCCCAGTTTTAAAAATGAAATGAATAAGAGAAAATTTCATCTCTAATCATTTACTCGTTGTGTGAGATTTTAAGAATTTCTGTAAACATTTAAAGTGGTCTCATACCGTGTAAATCAATAAGATTTCGTAGATATAGAGATCTAATTCATATGCATAATCAATGGTTTCAATGGCCAACCGTTAAAACTAACTATCTTTTTATAATCTAAATAACCCATTTAGGTTCCATGTGAGATTTTAAGAATCTTCATAAGGACTTAAATTAATCACATTATCGTGTGGGATAATGAGTCCTCACGGATATAGTGATTCTCATTTTTTTATAATCATATAATACACAATTTAAAAATTAATTAATCAAATTAATGCATTTAACTTGTAACCATATTTACTGATTATATCTTTTAATCATGTGAGATTTTTGAAATCTCCGTAGGCTTCTGAGATCATCGTATTATCGTGTGAGTCAATAAGACTCTGCAGATATAACGATTAAGTTTTTAAAATATATATATAAATTAAATATTATATTAATTAAATTAAAGACGTGTTTAAATTTAATTCCTTTATCGTGTGAGATTTTAGAATCTCTGTAGATATTTAGGATAATCATATTACCGTATAAGTCAATAAGGCTTTTGCAGGTATGATGATTAAAATTCTTTAAAAACATGTATCTACATGCTAAAAAATTATTATTAACACTTAAAATGTACATAGAAATATAAATAAATAAATTAAATTGCCAAACTCATTTATCGTGTGAGATTTCAGAATCTCCGCAGATATTTAGAGCAATTGCATTACCGCATGAATCAATAAGGTTCTGCAGGTACTGTGATTAAAATGCTCAATCATAAAACATAAAGAAAAATAATTTTAAATCCTTTCCTTTTTAAAAAAAAAATTCAAAAATGAAGAAAATAATTAAAATTAAATTACCTTTTGCAATTTAAAACACACTTATCAAAATTTCAGAAATTGTTTTATTTGTAAAATGGTGAATTATTTCTAATTAATTTCTCTTCAAAAATATTTTCACCAACAAATTTTTGAGCCCGAACTACGTGGACTTTGATCCCCATCACAGGGTACGTAGGCCTCAGAGTCAGATTCTGAGTCAAGTCCGTCCTCCCTCGTAAATAAATAAATATTTCTCACCTAATTCTTATCATTTTTTGAAACACATGAATATAAAAGGGATAGTTAAAATAATTATAAAACCATATTAATAGGGCACAACAAACTTCAGGTAACTGTTTTAACGAACGGGTGTTGTGGGGTGCCTAACACCTTCCCCACACTCAACCGACTCCCAAACCTATTCTCTGATTATGCAGATCATCCTTATCCTCCATTTAAGCGGTTTTCTGAGATTTACCTCAAAATCTTGGTGGCGACTCCTCGTTCGATCCGGTTCCCGCCGTGAAGGCCGGGACTTTCGCTCGCGCGCCGTCCGCGTCGCATTTTTTCGGGTGCGACATCTTCCTTTTTATATTATGGCCAATACTTCCTACAAATTTTTTCAGTTCATTATTCAAATAGTTCAACAGGCAAGTTTCTCAAAAGTCATTGATACTTTTTAATCTCTATTGTACCTATTATCCACAAAAAGAAAAGAAAAACAAATAAACAAAGAAACTCAAATGTTTGGAGACAAAATCTTGCATCGATTATAGTTATAACCAACAAAAAAACATATGTTTAGTTATATATGTTTGTGCACCCCACCACATGTAATCTTAGCTAACACTTTGCTTACTTTTAATTTCACTCGATTGAAGTTTTCCCTTAATGTGGTTTACATAAATTGTTTGGTTTTATAACCCTTTTCTCTCAACAGAGAATAATCAAAGGCAACAATTCGGTAATAAAGCATTCAATAGGGAGGTAAAGTAGATTTTAAGTAGCAAAGAAAAAAAGTAAAATTAAATGATTGAAACACATTAACCAAACAAACAACCATCAAAATTTTATCCTCTATATCTTAGTTGATCATTGGTTTAAATATAAAATAATTCTTTAATCAACTCCTTCTAAAAGACAAGTCGAGTTAGGGGCTTTTCTTTTCCATTCCAAAAGATAAAAAAACCCATTCTTGTATAAATCACTCATCAAATCATGGTTGCAATGCACTTATCTCGTAAGAAAAATAATTAATTAGGTATCTTCAAAATGGTCCATACTTACAACCTCAAAATTGATGAAAGAACTTAAAAAAGCCTAAATAAGCAAACTACCTAGGTCTAAATCCCCCCCAATGCATTCCATTGAATCAAGAATGTAATAGTCACAAATACTGTTGGATAAAGTATATTCTTTAATATTGTACTTTCCACCCACTCTAAAAGTAAGCACCTAAAAGAACATAAAATTATATAAATTTTGAAAGAACCAAAGGAAAGATAAAACCAAAAAGAAAAAAAAGAGAGTATACATATATATACAAGTCACGTGCGAAAGACCATAAAACATTTTATGACATTCGCTGACTTGGTCATTGAATTTTTAATGACTTATGCAATCATAAGATCCTTAAGTTAACATCTCAATTATTAGTAACCTCTAAATAAGCAAAAAATATAGGGAGAAAAAGGTATAACGTGCTTCAAATAGTTTGCGAGTAATATTCATCAAACAAAAATATAATTTATAAATCATCAATTATCTTTGTACTCTCGCATTCCATGAGTCCAAGTAGAATAAAGGAAAAAGCTATAAGGTGTGTGTGCGTGCGCGTGCGCACCTACTCCTTTTCCCTAGTTGTGTGTTGCCTAACTAATGTCTGCAGAGTCCCCATGTAAGACGCTAACTCCCTTGAAAAGCTTTCATCGTTTTGGGTGGTAGAATAAAAGCCCAAAAACTATTTTTAACCAATAATAACAAGTATTTAAATAGTAATTTCAATTTAATTGAGTCATAAATGTTAATTAAAAAAACTAATATGCAAGTTGAAATCAGACTTAAATGCTCTACAACTTGAGTCATGTACCATTGTCCATAAAGAATAAATTTTAATAAACCTTTTAACAATAAACTTAAAAAAAAAAACCATCCAATAGATTAAACCTTTTAACAGCTTAGTCAAATAGGCAATAAAACAAAAAATTGCAGTAGAGGAAAGAAAACAAATGATATTGGGTTTATATTCTAGCTACTTTACAGTATAAAATCATCAAACAAATTACCTTGTAGTTCTAAATGCTGATCCACCATGCCTTCACTTCACTACAAGTCATCAATTTAACTTTGTGAAAAAAATGTCAATTAAGATAAAATGGCAAAAAAATTATAAGCTATGAAGGAATTAAGATATTTTTGTGTTGACCCAATATATATATTTTTTAGCAGAATCTATTAATCATGTGGTTTTTTGTTGTTTTTAATAGAGCTTTTTTTAACTTTGGTACTTCATGAAAGATTTCCATTTCAATTACCTTTTCAAATTCAAATTGAAATAGAATAAAAAGATTTGAATATAATTAGTAACAAAAAAAAGCATTTAAAATGAATATAGCAATTAGCTTTAACTACTTGACAGCATTAAGAGAAGAACAATTTCAATTTGCCAGTTTTTATAACTGCAAAAATCTTTGTCTATCATGTACCATTATGTCTTCTTATTTAAGCCATGCAAAGTATATAAGTGGTAATAATGTTGGAGTATTTATTTATAGATGTACATTAATTAATAAGCCTAAACAGATTGATCTTTATGATCTTATGTGGACCATAATAGGTGGACTACACAAGTAATCCCAATGGGTAGAGAAACAACCTACAACCCTATAGCCGTGAGTTATTCTCTATCTCTTAACTGACTAAGTCAAATATAATGGAATATAATTAATTTATTAATTTATTATAATGGTTTCTGATCTGGTCGATATAAGCTAATTAGTCGATAACCACAAACACACAAACAGTTTTTACTTTTTTCATTATCTTGGAACTCTCTACAAAATTATGGGGGTCCTGTAGGTTGTGCATCTGTTTATACTCAAGGTAATCGAGGTATTTCAAGCGATCATAGATTCTTCAAGTACGCACACATTATTCTACTCAATCTTATTTGATACATAAATTGAGATACAAGTTAACATATAAATCACACACAATACTATATACAAAAGGCGTTCAACAATTCATGTTTGGAATGACAGTAACACTTGTAAAAACTTGCACTTAAAAAATGAACAACATCGTTCAATATGATTGCAACCAAATTCCTAAATATGCTTTCATATTTATGGTTGTATGTTCAACTCTTTTCTTCTCCAAAATCATCTGAATAAAGTAAAATGTTTTCTCTAAATCAATACCTATAAAAAATTTAAAGAAAAAAGATCAAGCCTTTCTATCTAAACAAATGGTGGAAGAAAGTGATATGTTATGTATAACTTCCCAAAATATAAAAGAAGTTATATTTAAAATACCGTATTCTATATTATTGAAAAGGAAATTTATCTTATCCTTAATGGAAGCCACTAGAATCGAGCAACTGCATGATCAACGGACTAGAGAACCAATGTAACACTTGCCCCGAGTGTTATCCAAAAATCACACAATTCAACTAAACTAAGTGTGGTTAAGGAGTTAATCCTAAAACCAACTTAGGAAACAAACCATTTAAATCACTAAGCAAATATACGATTGCAAAGTAAACATTTAAAACCTTAAAAAAAATTATAGGTTCTAACTATAGCGCACGGAAGCAAGTTAGACGAAAGAGAAATAAAAAGATACTATCATGACAGCATTTAAATTGCTGTCATGACAACCCTCCCGAGTCAACTTCTGGGAGGCGTCGTTCCGCCATCCGACCTCCGATCAAAGTGATTTTAAAGCTCACACGTCACATTCAAAGGGTACTATAAATATACCAAATTTCAAAAAGATCCAACGGTCGGATTTAAAATTAGACATGTTAAAAATTTGATTATTTTTGCTGTAGCTGTCATGACAGCACTTCCGGACCAACTTCTGGAGTGCACCATTTCATCATCTGACCTCCAATCGGAGTGATTCCAAAGCCCACATGTCACTTTTAAGAATACTATTAGCATACTAAATTTTGAAAAGATCCAACGGACGGATTGAATTTTGTGCAGGTTATAAAATCAATATTGTAGCTATCATGACAGCAATTTAATGCTGTCATGACAGCACCTCCAGACCAAATTTCAAAGTGCATCGTTTCTCCGTCCGATATCCGATCGACGTGATTCTAAAGCCCACACGAAGCTTATAAAAGGTTTTACTTGTGACCCAAATTTTAGAGAAATCCAACGGTCGGATTAAGATTTGGACACCCGGATGCAAAAGTGCAGCTTTTTGGTAAAAACCATTTTCAAAATTTGTCCAAATCCAATCCTAATGGTCACAAACCTGTGGAAACACTTTGGACACGTCAAATAAGATTAAAAACACCTGATAGAACATTCAAATGATGGAAAACCCCCATACATCAAAATTTGACCACCCGGGTGCCATTTCCCAAAATGGACCCTAAACCCCCAAAATGCACAAATCATACAAGAGTGGTTACAAATCAATCCAAATACCATGTATTTATATAAATACATATGCTAAACATTTTCACTTGGCTCAGAGCTCCTTGTGGGGCCCACGCACCCACTCTCTCTATCCAAGGTGTATGTTTGCCCATAGCACATCATTTGCAATGCAACCACTTTGCATTTGCTTATAAAATCACATATATATCAAAATAAAGATCTGCTTATAATAGAAACTTGGTCTACTAAGTAAATCCATCAAAACCACACACCATAACCAAGTTTCCTAGCCATAAGTCTGCAAACAGACAAAAATTCATACACAAGCACACAATCCACACATATTCACACACATACACACATGATCATATCCTACTGGCACCCTAATCTTAAATACATTACAATATATTTGCTCAAAAGAAAGGGGTTGCAGTTCTTTACAAATCACAAGCAAACCCTTAGCTTTGCTCCTTTCCCCGTCTACCACTGAATCCTTCGCCTGGACTTAGAATATTGAAAAGAAAGGGGTGAGATAACCACAGTCTCAGTAACAGCGAAATCTACATTGATTATTACAAAGTAAGCCATAATCAAATAAACGAATAATAAATTCAACATAGTATGTAATTTAGCCATTTAAAATGCATGAATGCATGACCTAGGTCGGTATGGCCTTTCATGACCAACAGAATGCCCCCTGGCACTCTTTAACTCGCAGGTAAACCTTATACCTACTTGTACCTCCACAGGCACAAAACATAATCTAAGGCATGATCTAATCCACCGAACCTCCTATGCCCCTTCGACGTGAATCCTAAGCAGTTGAAGCTAACTCCCTCCCAGAGCCAGCCCAACTTACTTTCCATGTGAGGGTTACCTTGACCTAGGCACTCAACCTCACACTTCATATGTTGGATTCCCTCCCCCACTGAGAGGTGTCGAACACTCAATACACTAACCACTTTAGTGCACTGAGCCCACAATACGTAAGATAACACTGAGTACTGACAGTGTGCCATAGAATATCAAAAATCCACACCTTCTCATTGGTGAACTCCCACCGAGATCATGCCTTTTACTCTTGTCTACCTTTCCTGAGTATTGACCATTCAACACTCTAAAGTAGTATAATATTTATAAATCTCATTTCCATAAAAATATTGTTATTAAACAATTAGAAAACATATTTATACTATAATCAAAGTAGTACCCCATAACCCCTTATAAAGCACATTTAATCTTTTAAAACATGTAATGCGTGATAACTAGTAGTATTTATTCAAAAATAGCTAAAACAAAGTAATAGAAAATGTAAATTTCCCCTGTTACCTCAACCTTTTGGTACTAAAAGGGTTCCCCTTGTACAAAATAGGACTCGGCTTGTTCCTTACTTCTCAATAAGTTCCACCAACAATTTTCTACAACATATAAGTGATCCACATCACTTATCATGACAAATAGCATTAATGAAGACTATAACTTATACCACACAACTTAGGTCAATGAGTCATAATCCACCCTAATGGTCCATATATTAAACCAACCATTCACATAATATCACTTAACGACCAAAATCATTTATTAGCCATCACTAGGCTAATTTTTAATTTATATAATTTTTTAATCAATTAAAAACCTTTACTTAGTGCCACCAACTTTCACCATTAGCCCTTATAATGAAAACCAAACCTTAATTTAAATCTTATTGGGCTCAAATAGCAAAATTATAACTAAATCAATAGGCTTAAACCATTGAGGAGCAAAAACCCAATTTCTCAAGGTTTATTTTATGCCCAAAACACCTCTTTTCATCCAATTATCCACTCAAAATATTAGATCACTATATAGAAACTCAAAACATGCTCCCTAGGATCCAAAGAAACAAAAGCTTACAAGAATAAAGCCTTTAGGATCAAAATCTAAAAATTTTCTCTTCCAAAAATTGAAGAAAATCAAGAGAAAGAGAAGAGGATTGAAGTAGGGAGTTTACCTATCGTGTAGCCGAGCTCGCAACGGTCGCAAAGACTCCTAGATCCGAGCCTAACTCCCTCTCTTTCTCCTTTCTTCTTCCTCTCTCTCTCTCTCACTCTCCCGTTTGTGCGTTTCCTTCCCTTATTCATTTTCTGCGTTTTCTGCATCTGTTTGCTCTTTAAAATGCTGGTCAAAAAGTTTGGAGAAAATTACAAGAAAGGGCCCAACATTTTTTATTATTGCACAAAAGCCCGGGTCAACTTTGGTAATTTTTCCCATAGTTAAAAATCAAATAAAACCAAACTTTTGCTTAGTAAAATTCAAACTCTGGGCCTCTATTAAATTATTCTAAATTTTAATTTAATTATAGATATTTTATTTTATTTTTTTATTTATTTTTTTTAAATAAATTTGAGTCTTAAAATTTTTAGGATGTTACAACCAAGTCTTGTGAAGGTAATCCACTATGATGGAGAGATTCAAGTATGGTTTAATCATATCATTGTTTAGTGTTCTGTCCTTCTAGATTGCAATCACACCACCTCTTATTCTTTCATCTACAAAAACTAAATGGAGTCCCACCAAAAATAGATGATCTCATCTATTTAAACCATCAGATAGCAGAAGTGGCCATTCCTGTCAAGCAAAAAGAGACAAGTTTTCAAATTTCAGAGAACAACAAGGAAAGGAACAACAACATGAATAGTTTTGTCTCTCTTCAATCTTTGGATAAAGCTATTCTTATGGACGGGAGAGAATTAGAGACTTGCACAAATCTAAGCATTGAGTACTTGTATCATCTGAGTCACTAAAATCCATATCAAATATTCAGATAAACTTACTCATTCATTAATCTCAATTAAAATATGGAGTCATAATCATTGATATAAATTTTAATAATTTAGATGATGCAAGCATTGATTGCTTATACTAAGTACAATCATCGAATTCAAGTTCATTTAATAAGGACAAAATTAAAAACTTATTTAATTTTAAACTTTAAATAAAGTTAACGAGTCTTTTAAAAAATTCATTAATTCTGGTGAAATATTTTGAAATAACTTATAAGAATATTCTATAAACACCTATTTACCTTCTAATATACTGTAACTATCATAAGAAACAAAGCTAAACTTAAGAATGAAGACATCTTCCAAACGATTTATTTATTTTATCAATGAAAATATCAAAAACTTATAACTACGTGACGTTGATTTCGCTTAAATATTTGAATATCCAGAAGCAACTTGCTGATCGAGATTAGGCTCTCTAGAAGACATTGAATACAAAAGATGAAAGACAAAGTCAACGAGCACAATCGATGTTTTTATAACATATATTCATGTTTAAACTCCGTTGTCTCATTTCCACCCTATCATTTTGGCTGCTCTTATTTTGACTTTTATTAACATTTTTCCAAACCCAATACAGCTCACGCCAATACAAATCATAAAGGTCAGAAATACTTTTAAAAAAAACTTTCTTTGTCAAACATGGTATTAATATTACATTATACATATCCACAAATTAAAAAATGTCATTTAAAAATTTAAGAATGCAACTGTTAATAACTGTCTGGCAATAAACTGACAAAAAAATACATAACATGATCACATCCACCGCCATTGACTTTCATTCATGGCAAGAAATATCGATTGTGTGTTTTACATCCTCTATGGAGCCGACTTAAACTCAATTCATCGTTGTCCTCTACTCCTCTTTTCTTTTTAATAGAATTCAATGTTGTTTTTCCACAAAAAAAAAAGTGCTGTTCTCCTTTCTTTTCAATAAATTGTTGCTACGCATCTTGAAAAAAAAATCAATTAGAAAATTGCACCGTCTTGAAAAATGAGTCTCATGTGTTGAATTTTTGGAATGTTTATGAACTCATTGTATCAATCTCTTTATTTTTATGCGACTAATAACGGAAGATCAGGCAGCGAATAAATTGGCTTCCTTCAATTTTGTTGTTCTGAATAACGAAGAGTTGGATTTCTCAAGTGGTAATTGATATTGAATCTTATGAATGAAGGAATTGATATTGAAGAAACTTTGGGTCTTTTAAATAATACGTCTTGTACTACCCAAAAAAAACATTGTCTTTGGATTACTTGAAATCCACTGTAAATTTTTGGGATATATAGATATTTTATTAAAAAATATCAATATTAATAAATTGCAATTTTTAATTAACTTTTTGCTTTTACAAGGAAAGGATTTGAGCTTTAAGCTTCTATCTTTATCTTATCTCTTTTAAATCCTCAGAGGTTCTAATTAGAGAGCATGTGGACTGTTTTCCATTTAGATGAATACCATACATATATTTTTTATATCTACATCAATTCCATTAAAAACGTGTTTTTTAAAAAGACCTAAAAATGTCTAATTTAATAATTTGTTACGAAACTATCACTTTTTTTTAAAAGATTAATCTGATAGAGTATACAACACACTTATTTATATAGTCAAAATTTTTTCTAAGTCCCTCCAATACAGGATATAATAATTTCCATGATTAATCCGTGAAGCTTTCCTTATGAAAGGCCCACCGACTAGAAAAACTCGAGTTTGGTTTTAATATCCCTTTATCAAGTTTAATATCCCTTTATCAAGTGTCCAAGGTATTAAAAATAGTGTAGCCAATTCTTTAACATATTGTTAATTAGACACGAAGGTTTTCATAGACAAGCAGTTTCCCGCCACACTAGCTCGTACAACCGATAGCTAGGCCTCGAAAGTCTCATCAACACACATTTAGAGAAACATTACCTACCATGTGAACCATAAACTATATTAACAAGTCACATGAGAGACTCCTCACCGACTTAACATGCAGATCATAACTGAATCCCAGTCATGTGTGAATGTTATTTACAAGTATCAGAGAGCAGAAGGCAGAGGTACCCACACAAGGTTATCAGGAGGGAAGAAATGGCAGACAGGGGATGTTCCGGGTTCGACCTTGAGAACATTGAAAGCCACATGATCTTTGTTCCACATGGACGTGTCCATGTGGCATATAGCAGGAGCTTTAACTCTTGCTCCATCCTCACCTTCAAGCATGACCACAAACAATCGAGTATCGCTCTGTTGGCTATGGCAGTAGAACACTGCGTAAGGATATGGCAGAGGGTGGCACCCTATAACCCTAGGGACAGACATGTTTTTCACCTGTGAAATTGTGTAGTTTTGTAAGGGGACAGAGGAATTTACGAGGTGGGTTGTGGATAACATTGAGAATTGACAGCTGTTTCCGAAGATTTGTCGTGTAGAATCAAGGAGGGATTCTAAGGAAGTGGCGCAGAACTTGGTTTCGCCTTCCATGGCTTGGAATTCACAGTGCTTAAGTGTGTATTCCATGGCCTTGGCTTGAGGGGAGTGTTTGGGGAAAGAGAAAAATTTGAGCAGGGAAGGTAGGTGTTTGGAGGAAAAAGGGATCTTGTCAGATTCTTCTCTGGGCAGAATTTTTGGAGAAGTTGAAGCGTTTCTCTGGGCAAAATAGATTGGCATTTTCTTGCCTATTTTCAGATCTTTTGGAGTGAAGAACACATTCAGTTCTGGGTCCATATGATTGTGATCCTTTCCCTTTATCTTTTTAGCAAGCTTGTTATTGACCTTAGCATCTTCTTTTCTCACCTGAACATGGCCATCTCTTGCAAGATTTTGCAAATCTATTGATACTTCTTTCAGTTCAATATCTCTCCCAAATGTTATTGCAATCTTTCTAGCCCCACCATCATATGTGATCTGCAGAGTTGCAACACAAGCTATCAGTAGAATCAGAAATAAAAGCTGTCTCTGAGTTTAGACATAGACAAAAGTGATTGATTGACCGAGTTTAGATTAATTATACCAAGAAGAAGAGAAGAGCACAGAGGAGGAAGCTCAAACAAGCCAATCCAAGTCTCATTTGGGTGTGTTTGTGTTGAAAGTTGAGATTTTGGGTTGTTGCAGAGAAAGCGAAGGGAAGGGGAAGAGATAAGTACTCAACGAAGGCATCTTCAAAGCCAAGAAAGTGGTTGCACTGTTAATTAATTTAATCAGATGGATGCTGGGCAGTGGCGTTAGTTGACTTTATTGAGTACCATTAATTTCATTCAAGTTAGTGCGGTCTCATTTTTTTTCTCTTAAAGATGGATCGAAGGTGCACGGTGGCCTCAACACTTAGGCCAATATGTATTTTTGACTCCATTTACATTCTTTCTCTGTGTTTTTATGAAATAAAAAACGCCAAACTTTGTTTGTTTTTCAAAATCACATTTTTCATGTTGTTTTTTATTCCCCTGTTTTTAAAAATAGTCATCGCTCAGAAGTTTTTTTTTTTTTTTTGAAAATATTTGATATTTTAGTATTAACGGGAGTAGAGACATAATATTGACTTTTTATAATTTGTTTATCATCAACTTCTGATTTCATGAAAATTAATCGGAAAATTAATAAAAACATTTTATTCGAATGCACTAAAATATGAATTATCACGAAACAGAGGGAATAACTTCTTGTACCAAATACACCAAAAAAAAAATGAATAAATATCATTATACTTTAAATTAAAATATAATTAAAATATAATGAATATGATTTTTAATTCAGATATAACAAATATAATACATACGCATCGTCTAAGCTGGTGATGACAATAAATATTATCTATTTTTATTTATAAATATTATAAATTCATTTGTTGATACGCGTAGGATCTAAAGGAGAACTGTTGTTTATTATATCATATGAGGCTGGTTTAGGTGATAAACAGTGAAGTAGGATCTGAGTCAGGATCATTGTGATTAATTAAAATTACTATTAGCATAAACGTGTGTGGTAATCATCTTTAGATTAATTGGTCCTTGCTGCTGACCAACTTTGTTACTTAAAAAAATTGCATTGTTGACAAAACTAACCTCAAAAGTTGGTGTGAACTTACTTTGAGGGAGGAAAATGGGTGTGGAAATTTTAAAAAGGAGGGAAGGAAATATTCTGTGCCTTTAAACTTTTGCATGTGAAAATGGGGCTTTTGAACTTGAATGGAACAAAGAATTCAAAAAAGAAGACATCCTGATTGCACTTGTACCCCACTTCATGTAACAAATCCTATTCAATATTTGATTAAAAATTTAGCTGTAAACTAACCACCACCTTAATTGGATTCACATATCATTTCTGGCAAGCATACATTAATGTAAAAGCAAATTTATCTCAATTCACGTTATTAGAGACAAAGAAGTCTTTCGTCTATAAATTAAAAAATACATTATAAATATATAAAATTATGTATCTAACCAAATGATTTAAATTACACTGATAAAATAAACTGTCTTTAAATAACTTAATATAAAGGATTTAATATGATATTAAGAATAATTCAATCAGGACAAAAAGAAGAAGAAGAAGACAAGAGCAATAATAGAAGGAAAAAAAATGCCAACAAAATGTAGAGAGAAAAACAAGAGTGTGAGAGAGAGGGAAAAATGAATTGGAGATTATGTAAACCTAAAATTGCTGAAATTTAAAAAAGTACAAGTCTAGACAAGACATATAGAGAAAAAAAATATAGTAGAGAGAATCATGAACAAATATAACATTTGAAATGTGCGTGACTAAATAACTTAAAATTATTTTAGTGAAGTAAATTATTATATAAATACTTAATATAAAGAATTTAACACAGATCACACATCCATATACGGAGTCTTAAATTCATAGTGCCACTCAATGAATTCCTTGGACAATATGTTCTGTTTTCTTGCGTGTCCCATGTCCTATGGGAAACACAGAATGTTGGACATCACTGTTCTATCTTCTTCGCGCCTGTTTGATTAAGAAAATAGTACAACCAAAAAAAATACCCAAATATCATCTTTTGTCATTACTCGACTGTTGGTGTCGACTGTTGGTGTTAAAATTGATTTTTTTTTTTCCCGAAAGCTGTATTTGTGGGCTTCTGGGAAAGAGCTGATCAAAAGCATTGAGAAAAACTATAAATAAAGGCCAAAAAAATTATAAAAAAAATAAAATTTAATAAAAATAAAATCAAACTCTCTTCTTTTTTTTTAGTAAAATTTAAATTTTGGATCCTCAAAAAAGTTTCTTATATAAATTCTTGTCAACCATCACTTTTTACTTAACACTCACTATAAAACTAATTTAAATAAAATATTAATCGGTAGAAAAAATTTAATTTAATTTAATTTTTAGGGTCATTACAAAAATTGTTGCATAGAGAGAGAGATTTTATATCATTTATTATATTACTATATTTTTTATGTTGTCAAAATTTTAAAGCAGTGCTTAACATTTTCATCATATATAACCCATATTTATGATGTCATTAAAAATTAATTTATATATCATTATCTTCATTAGTTATTGTAAAATTGATGTTTGGTATTTAAAAATTAAATATTTTTCTTTTATTAAATTTATTTGAATTAAGATATATTGAGTTATTTATTTATGTAAATTAAATTGTTAATATTAATATAATTCTAATTTTTATAATTAATCAGATATGTAATTTAAATAATATTTTATTTCTTAAATAAAATTTAACAAATTTAATAATATTATTTACAAAGTTACTAATAATTTAATTTTAAAAAACAATATTTTTTATGATTATTTATACAATTAAAATTAATTCTGAATAAATTATCCAAACAACTTTAATTTTATTAAAATTAATTTTAAAAAAATAGTATTCAAATAAATTATATTATAACATAATAAATTATTATTAAAATTAATTATTTAATTAATTATTATAATTAATTATATCTAACTAAAATTTAAAAGAGCACTTCAGCTTCAGTCACTCCACCTCAATCTCAAGATCCTTACAAGCTCATCATCATTATCTTCCAAAGTCCACTCTCTCCCTCCCACTCACACGTACACGAGCTTGACAGTGACAAGCCCACTATGTATGAACTTTGTTAAGAGGGAGGGTAATGATTCATTACAGATCTCACATGAAGCTCTCACCGATCCAAGTGACAACCGTTCGCCTCTAAGGTCACTTCTTCAGATAGGTCAACCAAGCATCCACCAAAAGAGTTCCACAAGATATGAGCATTTTTCTCAGCAATATTCTTCCATTCAAAATAATTTGGTTGGACCAATCATATTCCTGTATTCTACACTAGTATTTTTTACAAAGGTGCATCACTAATATTTTTAGTCTTTTCTTTTTTTTCCTTTTACTAATTTGTCAAATGGCAAAAGAATGCTCTCTCTCTCTCAAATATTTTCATGTCTAAGTTAAAATATACAGAGACAAGACGTGTTTGCTTCTCAACTGGTGATGAACTTGATTTTACAACTTGTAAAGTGAAGTGGTTCTCTATCTGTGCTTTCGCATGGGTCCGCGGATATAAAACGTGGAAGCAAACATATTTTTTATAGTTAATTTAATTAATTAACTTTCCCTGCAAACAATCAATAATCTAAAGTCACGTAATTAATATCCACCAGAAATCATTTAAAGTCTCACTTCATTTCACTTCATTCCCCTAAAATTGTGATCACGCCTTATGATAATCCTTTGTTGAGTAAGACGTGTCCTGGTGTCTTGAGCATGCTTCTCAGAATTCTATTCCACTGAAGCGAAGTCCCCTTTTTACCAATTTTGCAAGGAAATGATAATTTAATTACTTTGCCTAAGAATCATTTTAAACATAATTATTGCTCTGATCTGTTTTCTAAATAGAGAATATAATCTCGGTTTATTCCCCAATTATGATGCTATTCATAACTTTCTTTTCCTCTTTTCCGTGTATCAGATAGCTAGATGGCGCCACAAATGCCCATGTACGTGCAAATAAAATAAACCAGGCTTGATTACTTGTGAAGCTTTTTGATAAAGTGATGTTGCCATTACATATCATATCAGAATCACATGCCCTATGTACCCCATTTTGGACTTGTACCTACCCAACCAGTCATTTATAATTATTAATTTCCTCTGCGCTTGTATTTATGCGTCCAAAAAAGAAGGTCAGAAGAAGCTTAATATTCCATGCACAGGGTTGAAACTTAATGTGAAAAGCACCAAGCTTTTAACTTTCTCTCAAAAGTTTTGTTCTCACTTCTTTCCTGTACATATATTTTAAAAATTTGTCACGCTGGTGTTCACATTCTTGGCCTCCACATTTCAATTCTTCAACGTGTTTTGGCCTAAATATATTTTTCACATAAAGTTTGTTGACAACAAGAATTCAACTGCATTGCCTTTTTGTGTGCACCCAGTCGAGTGCGTACGTGCGTGAATTCAATCAATGGCTAGTGCCCCCAATTCTTCTTGTTTTCAGTCAGAAGATGAACATCATGTTTATCTCTTTTCAAGATTTTAAATTTCAAAAGTAAAATTATCATTAAATAATATATAAAAATAAAAGTTAACCTGCTCAAATACAATTTATATAGTATGTATCTAAATTGGGTGAAAGAGATTTATATACTTCCACCTAACCTAAACATATGACATTTGTAACTATCATAAAAAAACACATAGTTAAATCAATAAGATAATCGAAAAATAAAATGATTTTTTTAATTTACTCCTGTTTAAAAGTATAATTTAAAAAAAAATCTATATAGCTGTAATCGTAAATAAGGGTGATCTTGGGAGGAAAAAACTAATTAATGATTTACTTTTTAATATAGAACTAATAATATATAAAATTGTGAAATTTATTTTAAAAAGTGAATGATATATGAAACAGAAAATGAAATGCACACAATGAACTGTCAGATATAGTAAGTACTTAACGGTTAACACACCATCAATTTTTTATATTAATAAACTAGAAAAGGGCATTGAAATCCCATAAAAGCACAAAGCTCCTCAGAGAGAAAGGAACACTGTCAAAAAAAGAAGAGACCTGCAGCCCTTCTTTAGCATTTCACTCGTATCTAAATATTTAATGCCCAACTTAAACCTGATTGACCGCTTCAACCCAAAAAAGAACTTGATTAGACCGCATAATTTGTTTTTTTAATGAATGTAATGGAATGCATAAATAATGGATCAAATTTCAATGAATTGTT